ATTTTTATTTATTTTTATTTATTTTTATTTATTTTTATTTATTTTTATTTATTTTTATTTATTTTTATTTATTTTTATTTATTTTTATTTATTTTTATTTATTTTTATTTATTTTTATTTATTTTTATTTATTTTTATTTATTTTTATTTATTTTTATTGATTTTTATTGATTTTTATTGATTTTTATTAATTTTTATTGATTTTTATTGATTTTTATTGATTTTTATTGATTTTTATTAATTTTTATTTATTTATTTTAATTATAAATTTTTAAAATATTATATTAATTTTTTAAACAATTTAAAATTTATTATTTATTTAAATTATAATAATATTAAATTAATAATAATTATAAAATTTTATAATTATAAATTTTTAATTTATTTCGAAATTTTATTATAAAAAATAAAATTTAAAAAAAAAAAAAAAAACTATCCGTTAAATTTTTCCGAAAAAACCGTTTAAACTTTTAAGTCCGATAAACGATTACCTTGTAAAAAAAAGGTTTTTTTTATTTTTTAATTTTTTTTATTTTTATTTTTTTTAATTTTTTTTTTAAAAAAAACCAGTTATTTTTTAAATTATTTACTTTTAAAATTATTATTATTATAATTAATTTTATAAAAATATAATTATAAAATTAAAAATTAAAAACGTTAAATAAATATATTTAATAAAAATATATTATTAATATAAAAATAAAAAATAATATATTTAATTAATTAATTTTTAATATATAAAAATTAAAAAAATATATTTAATAAAAATATTTAAATAATATAAAAATAATATAAAATACGGTTAATTAAATTTATAAATGTTAAAGTTTATTAATTTATTAATATATTTTTTTTAAAAAAAATTAATTATAAATATATATTATAATAATTTAAAAAAAATAAACGTTAATTATTTTTTAAATTAAAAATTATTATATTTATTTAATTTTAATTATTAAAAAAATTTAAAAAAATTTTATATTAAAATAAAAAAAGTTAAATTAATATAAAATATATTAAATAATATTTTTTTAATTTTAAAAATATTAATTTTATATATAAAAACTATTTAATATATATAAATATAAAATTAATTATTATATGTAATTTATATTTAATTATTTTTAATTTATTTAATTATTTTAAATTTATTTATTTATTTATTTAATGGGATATTAATTATGTAATTATATTATATAATTAAAGTTATGTTTATATATACCGTTTAAAAATTAACTTATACATATATAAATAAATATTTTTTTATTTGGTAAATTTTTTACAAAAAACAACCCCGTTAAATTATATAATAGCCTTAAATTTACGACCATTACGCCACATAATTAACCACATAACCACATAGCCACATATTACACCACATATCATTAATCGCCAGGTTTACGATTCGATTCCTCGACCTCGCATCCCATCTTTTTTTTAACGCATTACTCCGCAAGCAAAAGTGCGGCTTTTGCTTGTTACGTAAGCAAAGACCGACCCGGTGTTCCATAGGCGGTTTTCGGCCGCACAAGCCACACACATTTTAAGACTTTTATTTAAAACCCTCGTGGTTTAACTTAAAAATCGACCAAAACCCCACTTTTTCCAAAATGCACTTAATCAACATTTACCAAATCGACCAAAATCTTTTTTATTCCGGTAATTTTTAAATTTTAAATAAACAATTTCCATTTTTTAATTTAAACGAGTTTTTATAAAAAAAAAATTTAATATAATAATTTTTTATAAATTTAAAACATTTTTTTTATTTAATTAAATATAACCAATTAAACCATTTTATTTAAATTATTTTATTATTTTTTACTTTTTGTATTACGTAATACACGGTAACATTATTACCATTTTAACATTATTTATTTATTTATTTATTTATTTATTTATTTATTTATTTATTTATTTATTTATTTATTTATTTATTTATTTATTTATTTATTTATTTATTTTAATTTATAAATATAATTAAATAAAAATAAAAATAAAAATAAACGTTATAAAATTTAATTAATAAAAAAAATTTATAAAATTAAAAATTAAAAATTATAATATAATATATTATAATTTTATATATAAAAAAATATAAATATACGTTAATATTTATATATATTATTATATATATATTTAAAATTTTAAAAAGTTTTATATTTATATAAAACTTTATTATAAAATAAAATATAAATTAATACTTATGATTTTTTTATTTATATATAAAAATATTTTTAAAATAAATATTTTTTATAATATATTTTTTTTTAAATTTTTTTAAAAGGTTTTTTTTTTTTTTTTCTTTTTATAAAAAAATACGTAACAAATTTTTTTCAGCAATAATATCACGTGATTAACCACTTTCGTAAACTCGGGCTATTGTGGCGCACCGCAGGGGTGCCCTCATGTATTACATGTAACTATATGTACCTAGGTACCTAAGGTAGCTAAAGAGAGCAGGGATCTTGTGCTTCCCACTATGAAAGAGGGGAAACGTGCAGGTGCAGCTAAGGGATGGTAAGATGGGGTCGTAATCCGCTGTGATATTCTAGGAATATGCATTACTACCACTAAACATTATTTTCTAAATATTATCACTATATTATAAGTGCTAATATTTATTCGTATTAGTTGGTATTATTTAAAGAATCGTTTATTATTCGGATTTAGGCATGTAAAGCCGGTGTTGGCATGCCGTTTGCAATAGCTGCAATATCCCGCTTATACCCATTTGACTAATAAGTCGCATGTGTTTAACTTCAATGGATCATTTATTAATAGTATCAGTTTAATACCCGTATGTAGGCTTCCTAAAGGCAATAATACGTAAATATCTAAAATCTTCTATAATTTAATAGACGGTAGCCTATCTCGAAATATCCCCGTAATACTCGAGGAAAGCTGATGTCCTTGCTATCAACTCCTAGTATAAGTAAACACATGTAACGGATTACCAGAATCCCCAACTACGCAGCAGAGAACGGCCAGCCATTAATACCGCTCGTAAACTGTATCCCCGACTCTATAGCCTTAGCCTGTCCCTTCAGCTCGTCCACATCCCAATTAGCCCACACAGCGCGACCCTTCAGGAAGCTAGCTTCGGGGCTGGACAGCCATACTAGAAAATGAGCCGGGAGTTGGGCTAAGTCGAATAGGTCACTTGTTAGTAACATATATAGGCAACCAGACGAAGTTAGGATGGGTCAACTTACGTTTATCCAAAGGCACAGCCTCAGCCTTCGCGCCGCTCTTCTTGAAAATATCCGACACAATCAGACCAGGGTGCACCGTCGCCGCGAAGACATTCGGCTGCTCCGCGGCTAGGAACTCGATGATCTTGGTCTCGGCGAGCTTCGACGCCATGTACGCAGACAAGCCGGGCAGGGCCGCGCTGGGGAGCGCAATGGTGCCGGTGTTGAGAGCTAGGATGGTAGCATGTGTCTTGTTTGCGGTAGGTAAGAACGTCTTGATGCTGAGGAATGTGCCTTTGGCATTTGTCTAGCGGGTGTTAGTAGATTTGTTATCAGGATGTGAAAGGGTATGTATGTATTAGGATTAACTCGTCTTACCTCAAAGCTTTTCCACCACTCGTTAGTATCCGAAGAGGCGATAGGGCCAGGAGTAGAGACATAACCGGCGGTATGGATAAGGATATCCCACGTTCCCACTTCAGCCGCGACTCGTTGAAGCGCATCTTCTTGAGTAATATCCACCGCAAAGGTCTGAGCTGAGGCAGAACTAGGAAGCGCAGAAGCTGCCGTCTTGATAGTCTCTTCGGTGCGGCCCAGGAGTACGATACGAGAAGCTCCAGCGTCAGCAAATGCGAGCGCGGTTTCGCGGCCGACGCCACCCCCCTATAAGTATTAGATGGCGGAATGAAAAGCTAGTCAGGCTAAGCTCACAGCGCCGGTAATCACGACAGTCTTCCCCGCGGCACTAAGCTCAGGTCGTTTCGGGGAGATAGCTGCGTAGGTATCGTTGTGCCAAGTTGGCGTCGGGGACGGTAAGGGAGCTGCCATTCTTTCGATCTTTTGCGCTGGTGTTGAAGGAGGACAGAGCGGCAAGTTATGGGAATCTAGAACGGACCCGATATCTAAAGGCCCAAGGGGGGTTATCGTATTATATGATATATTCTATTCACGTAAGCTACCTAGGTAGATGTAATAGACAAGGAAGTCCTACATAGGTATGTAGGAGGTACATATCCTATTATACATTTCTCAGAGACACACTGGCTTCATAATTACGACTTCAAGGCCATTGAGTGCGGGGCGCGCCGTGTTAGCTGTAAGTGTAAGTGGGATGCCGCTGACGTAGTAACGCAATGGAACGAAGGACGCTTTGCATTAACTCCGGATGAGATGACAAATCTGACCACTGGGGACCTATCCCGACCGGGTTAAATACTACACTGTTAGTATATTGTAGTTAGTAGTTAGTAAATAGAAAAGGCAAATAAATACAACTATGAACAATTAGCCGATTACGTCTTATAGAGTAGTTGTCAGTCGTGATATATTAAAAGCGCATACGTAATATCGTAGGTAATTTATTAGTTCTATATATAATATCACTATACCAACGCTAAGAATCCTTCGTCGAGCTTAGCTCTGATAGAGACTTCAAGTTGGGTAAAACTCTCATGTAGACAATTATATCGCACATAGACAGACGTTATCATAATATTTATTTCGTAATAGCCATAAAATACATCAACGCTTTTTACTTAAAAAAAAACCCCCCCATAACCCCCTTTACCAATTTTGTGATTCAATATCCCTCCGAACATGTATCTGGCCGGGAGTAGGAATATCTCTCGGGGGCTCTATCGCAGGGTCGTGAGTACACTCCGTCGTGATCGCCAGACCCTGAGTCGACCCTTGCAAGTCATTGGCGTATATCTTGACATCGTATTGACTGGTGCTGGTGTCGATGTTCTGGTATCTCCGGCTGCTATGGCTCTCCTTGTAATTGCTTAACTTGTACTGGTTTTTCGGGTACCGCGAGCCCGACGAGTGCATCGTAACCTTGGTGATAACCGGCTTCACGTATTTCTGAAGTAGCGGCGCTAGAGTTGGTATGCTGGCAACAATCATGCCTAGCCACAGCTCGAGTAAGCTGATGAGCGCAATATCTGTGGTATGGTACGATGCGTCGGGGTGCGTGATCGAGTCCTTCGTTGCGGCTAGTCGCCAGCACATGACGCCAATGGTGCTATTTCATGTTAATGGCGGTGAATTCGGTAGGATATGCTTATGAACTTACACGAGACCAATGCTGAACATAACGCTGATAGCAATCTTGTTGCGTAGAGGCATTTTCAGCCCCCAAAGCCAAGGCATAGGCAATACGAAGATCGCCAGATCCACTACCAAGTTAAAGCTGATCGAGGTGAACTCTTGGTCTGACGTGTCTCGGCATGAGCCCCACGGTACCGGATTCCACAGCTGATCGATGGGCTTGCAGATGGTCATGAAAACGGCGAGGAAAGCCACAAAGTAGCAAGCGACCACCCCCATAAGAGAGTATGACCAGTTTTTAAACGACCGCGTCGAGAAGATTCTCGTGTAAAGCCATAGCACGGAGAATTTGATAGCGACAGTCCCCACGAGCCACGCAATGGAAGAGGGAAGGACGAGGATCTAACTCGTCTTGTTAGCAAGTGGAGATATTAGAGAGCTTATTGTAATTGGGTCATACCTTAGCCTGTATGGCAAGTTCCTCAGGAGTGAGATCGGCTTGAGGTTTACCGGCGCCGTTGTCAATAGCCCAGACGGCGACGCCTTCGAATGTAATTGTGCTTGCCTATTCACCGTATCGTTTAGAATTCGGCGTACGATGGCGACGAGACAGAAACTCAAACGCATAGGTAGATGACTTACAAAAGCGATAAGCACAAATAAGTCGTCGAGGTAGAACGATCGCTTCATCAACCTGGCTGCCCAGAGACGCAACAGTAGAATTACACCGACGATAACGGTAAACGCTATCATCCATCTTAGAAGCGTCTCACCTCGTGGGCCTCGGCCTGGCATTTTGAATACTATTCAGTGAGGGCCAAATAGTGGTGATATTCGGTAATATTCAAACGCCACGGCGCCGTGGCACGAGGTGTGTGCAATTGAGTGGCTCGGTATGATACAGATTCGACGACACCAACGAGCCCGACTTGGAGAAAAGTAGGCAGAGCGCTTATTTTCAGAGAAAAGACATAGAATATCGCCACATACACCTTACGGATCAAGACATACACAATTGCTATTTTAGCGCTGATTCATTCGTCTTCAGGTCAGCACCAGTAGACCAACTGCGGTCTTATGGGGGGTAAGTATATCAAGACCAAGACCGCCGTACTGCTATATGTAGATTGGTGGTCAGATGGCCGGCACATCTCACGGTGGCCCTGCAGCACTGTGGAGTTTGCTGATGTATGTATATGTCAGGTATCTAAGCGGCGGAGCTGTTGGGTCAAGGTCAAGGAATAGTTCTTATGTGATGTAACGTCCGTAATACCCAATAGGGTCGTGATGCCGTCCGCCAATCACTGGGTAGAATCCTTCCGAAGGTAGTCTTCTGCTTCTGAACGAGTGAGTTAGGACGGTGCAGTATTCTCGTAACGGTAGCAATGCTACTCCAGCACATGGTATCGTCTCAAAAAGGTTATCGAAGGAAGGGATTCCCAACGCATTAAAAGTGAAAGAATTCGTCTAGTAAACCCGTTAAAGCAGGCCGGCCACACTCTTCTATTTCAATCTCTATAGTGTTTTTGATATTGGCTTAAGCGCTCGAGTGAGGAGCTATGGAAGACGCCTTGGAAAGTGATACAACGCCGGTTTCAGAGGCCGAACTGAAGCCAACTTCGACCATTGCACACGATGACTTTGGGTGGTTTTATGTTATACCCTACCTTGTATGGGAGTTCACACGGAGCAACTTTGCCACGTTCGTCATCCCGAATTCGACCTTTGGGATTCTAGGTGCTCTTGTACCTGCATTTGCTACTGTAGGATCAAGCGGGCCGCCTACGGCTCTTGAAGTTCTCCAACGATTTCCCATCGTCATCGCGTTTAACTGGTATAATGTACTAGTTTTCGACCTCGGCAACCAGCGCTCAGCAGAATCGATCCAGGAGGATCTTCTAAATAAGCCGTGGCGGCCCATACCGACCGGGAAAGTTACCCCGGAACAGACCCGGAGAGCCTTGCTTCTTTTCATCCCGATCTCACTATGGCTCAACTACAGCTTAGGAGTCTGGGAGCAAGGTGTTATGGTACCTATTTTGAGTTACCTTTACAACGACTTGAGAGGCGGTGACGAAATCGTCCGAGACCTGATTATCGCCGTTGCGTATGGAGTTGCCCATAGCGCCTCGCTGAAGATTGCTATTGGCAATGACATCAGTCGAGAAGCGTTTATATGGGTAGCCATAATTAGCGGTGTCATTCTGACCACGATGCAAGTTCAAGACCTGAAGGACCAAGCGGGGGATAGGACGCGAGGACGCCGAACGGTGGTCCTGTTCATAGGAGAGTGGTTTTCGAGGACGTCCATCGCCTTCTTCGTGGCACTTTGGTCCCTCGTTTGCACTAGGTTCTGGCACCTCGGTCTACTGGCATTCGCATTGCCAGGCATAATCGGAATTGTGGTTATCACTAGGGTTCTGCTTAAGCGAACGCCGGCGGAGGATTCTCAAACGTGGAAGTGGTGGTGCTTGTGGACGATAACTCTGTTTTCCTTACCCGTGATTGCGATGACCGGCAGTTGATGTAACGGTTAGGAAGGTCACATACCGTAAAGCGTACTATGTAAAGGATGTGGGTTGTGGGATGCGGGCCGGGGCATGGGATACTGTGGTCCCTACCATTGACCAACCTCGTGGTTGGAAGTTTGGAACTAGATAAAGAATCTACCGTAAACTAGCCTTCTTTTAGTCTAAGTTTTATACCCTTGGGCTATCAGTAACGATCATGTACATAGTGTAAATTTGGTACTTCGTAATCCGTAGTTACCTCTTAAATATCAAACAAGGCTCTTGTCCAGCTTCCTCCATCCGTAGCTGCCAACTGCAACGTGCAGAACGTGCTGATGGTGGCTTAGAAGAGGGTAACACTACAGAATTTAGTAGCAAACGGGTGACGAATTACGATGAACAAATGTGTCAAATCAATATCTGGTTGGCTGGTTTTCTGGGGCTGTCAGATTGGGAACCTTGGGTCCCAGAATCAGAGTGGGGGCCATATGTAGGGCCATGAACTAGGGGAGTAGGTACCTAAGGTGGGCACCTGCCTGCTTGGAGGTACACGTGGTTTGTGCCTCATATCTACCTCGCAATATGTACCTTGTTTAGGTACCTAAGTACCGTCCCTTCACGTCGTAAAGCTTAAGTGCACAAACCCGAAGCTAAGGGGAATTGTCCAGGGGGGCTTCAACTCCATCCCCCCGCTCACATCTCTACCAAGATTGCAAGTACCTTGAACATTCAGCTTCTGGGCATCGTATCTTGATTAGTGCGGGAATAGATGTTATCATGTCCGAGAGAGAAACACGCAGCTCAGCTGTGCCGCTCAGCCTGCTTTATCACCAAGGAAGATGTCCAGAATCCGTAATTAAATTACCTTCCCGGGTTGTTTTGCCCGTCAGCTCACGCATCTCACGCATCTCACGCATCTCACGTAGAGGTCGGATCCGAGTGAGCCGCGAAGAGTCTAGATTTTCCCTATGAATCACTCTTAAGCTCACATTGCCTGTCTCACCTACATGCGCATGTGCTTCCGTGCTCTACGGGCATTCGGTTCGACTTGGCAAGATAGAGTACGGTAGCACTAGACACACTTGAGAGCGATGATCTTTCGCTCAGTGTTACCTCTGCTGTATTCCGCCTGTGCGGCGGCATTAGCCCTCCAGCCACACTCATCGAGTTCAGTCCTATCCCGCGATGTTGAGGCTTCTGTAAACAGCTCGAAATGTCGGTGCTTCCCAGGCGATGCTTGCTGGCCATCCAGGTCAGAATGGAGCCAGTTCAACAAGACGATCAACGGCAAACTAGTTGCAACAATTCCTCTGGCCAGCGTTTGCCATAATAGCGGGTTTGGACGGTACGATGCTGATGCGTGCGCAAAGCTCATATCGGTATGGGACTACCCTGTAACTCACTATGAGAGCTCGTCATCCCCTATGGCGCCCTTTTTCGCCAATATGAGCTGCGACCCCTTTACACCACCTGACGCCCAATGTGTAGTTGGCTCCTTAATTCAGTATGCCGTAAACGCCTCTTCAGCTCAAGACTACCAATCGACAATTGCTTTTGCGCAGCAGCACAATATCCGTCTCGTCATCCGTAACACTGGTCATGATTACTTCGGCAAGTCGACCGGTGCCGGTGGCTTAGCCATCTGGACACACCACTTAAAAGACATCACTGTTAGCGACTACTCTTCGCAGCATTACACTGGTAGGGGCTCATCCACCATAATCTTTAAGTAAGGACAGATACCTAACAGTAATTATAGGTAAGGCAATTAAGGTTGGCGCCGGAGTGCAGAACGGCGAGGCTCAGCGTGTAGCACATGCGAACGGCCTCGTAGTTGTCGGCGGCGACTCCTCAACTGTCGGGTTAGCTGGCGGATATTCACAAGGTGGTGGCCATGGGCCCCTTGTATCTACATTGGGACTCGCCGCTGACCAGACGCTCGAGTGGGAGGTTGTAACCTCTACCGGGAAACACTTGATCGCTACCCCTTATGAAAACTCAGATCTATATTGGGCTCTTTCAGGAGGTGGCGGTGGCACCTACGCAGCCGTGCTATCTTTAACCGTCAAGGCTCATCCGGATTTTGACCTTGTTTCTGTCGGCAACCTCACATTCAATCTCGAAACTACGTCGGAGGCATTCTGGGATAGCTTTACAGTCTTCCTCGGAAGCTTGACTAAGATCACTGATGCCGGTGCCGTGTGTATCTGGATGCTATCAAACGCGAGCTTCACAATCCAGTCCGTAACGGCCCCGAACTTGGATTCTAAGCAATTGACAGCCTTGCTGCAACCTACTATCGACCAGCTAGAAAGAGTGAAATTACCTTATCGTGAGTTCCCCCTTTAATCTATCTATGTCTACAGAGTTTCTTAACTAGACTAACATTATCGACAGAGTATGCTGTTAAGGACTTCCCCAACTTCCTTGATAGCTTCCATTCCATGAGTGCAGATCCCAATGTAACTCAAGCTAATATTGGTGGTCGTCTGATCCCACGCTCGCTATTATCGAATGACTCTGTAGCAACGCTCACCGACGCATTGAGGTTCGTAGTCGATGAAGGCGCAATCCTGTCGGGACTTTCAGTCAATGTCAACCGCACACCGAGTGCTCCGAACTCCGTAAATCCTCTTTGGCGTTCTACGGCTTTTAGTTCTGTCTTCGGCACGTAAGTCTCACCACGGTTACCGCCCCTGATCCATGTATATGTCACTAATTCCTAGCGCCAACAGCTATTACAATCATCTGGACAATAGCGCCAACATAGCAGATCAGGAACTCATTAGGAGCTCGATGGTGCCGAGATTGTCTGCTATAACTCCTAATGGCGCTGCGTACCTGAACGAGGCCGACTTTGGTCAGTCTGACTTCCAACAGGTATTCTATGGTAGAAATTATGATAAGCTCTTAGCTATTAAGAGGAAGTATGATCCGAATGACACGTTCTACGGACAAACAGCCGTAGGAAGTGAGTATTGGGAGATACGACAGGATGGCCGGTTATGCAAGGTTACCTAGGTAGCGGCGAACGGTGCCACTATTCAACTAACATCTTCATTTACTATCTTTAATGTACCATTATATTTTATGACGGGGAATTTACTATATACATACAAGCAGCAGAAGAGGCACGCCATACTGGGTTTTACTAACCAATATATGTTAAACGGATACTGGCTGGGACCGATTAAATAAGATAAAGGCTTAAATTAATCTAAAAAAACAGTTATTTATTGTATGTATATATGGCTTTTATAAGTAATAAAAGACTTATATTAAAGTTAATTACTTTATTAATTAATTAAAAACTATTTATAACGTTAGTTATAAACCTCGTTTATGTAACACACTTTTAAATTTTTTAAAATCACCGTTTTAAAAAACTTTACACAATTAATAAAACTATCTTTTTTATTTTACTACCACCTTTTAGTTTAAATAATAATTATTTATAATTTTATATATATTTATAAAAAAAATATATATATTACTTTTTAATTAAAACGGTAGTTATAAAAAAATTATATTTAAATAAATATTTTTACTTTTTTATTAATATTTTTTATAAATATTATAACTTAAAATTTATATTAATAATTTAATTTAATCCGTACGTTTATAAATTATAAATTAATTATTATTAATTTATTTTTTTTAATAAATTATAATATTTGTAAAAAATAAATTAATTATTGTTAATTTACTTTTTTTTTAAAATAAAATATATATTTTTTAAAAATAAATTAATTATTATTAATTTACCTTTTTACATAAAGTTAAATATACTTATAAAAAATAAATTAATTATTATTAACTTACTTTTTTTTATAAAGTTAAAAATAAATATATAAAACATAAATAATAAACGTTAAAAATAGTTTTATTTTATACTTTTACCTTTAATATTTTTAAAGTTATGTTATTATTAAATTAAAATAATAACTATTTTCTTTATTTAATTATTAACGTAATTTATACCATTTCGTAAATTTAAAACGTATTTTTATAAATTTATATTTTTTTTAATTAAATATATATTAAAGTTATAAATTATTTATACCATAAACGGTATATTTAAACCTTTTATAATACTTTATTAATTAATCGTACTTATTTTTTAACTTTTTAAAACACGGATAAATATATTTTAATACATCTTTTGTTTTAATAATAAATACTTTTAAATTTATTAATAACATTGTTTTTTAATATAACAAAATTATTAATTATTTTCTGTAATTTTTTAATGTAAATTACGCGTAATTTAATACTTTGTTTTTAATTATTTAATTAAATTATATTTAAGTTTATTTTAAAATTATTTTAACAGTTATAACTTTAAAAAATTCTCGTATAAATAATTACTTTTTAATTTTAATTAAATTATAAATTTTAACTTTAATATATATACGTTTTTATTATTTATACCATATTTTAAAACTTAATTAAAATTAAACTATTATTGTAATTATTTTATATTTTTAACGTATATTAATAATAACGTTTTTTTCGGACGGTATTAATTTTTTACAAAATAAATAAATAATTTTTTAAATTAATAATGGTTTATTTAATTAACTTATTTTAAATTTTATTATAATAAATTATAAAATTTTAAAATTAACTATATAATTAATTTAAGTTTAAATTTAAATATAATATGTAAATTTGGTTATTTAAAATAAATGTTTTATTAAAAAGTTTTTTTTTTTTTTATTATATAAATTATTTATTTTATTATTTATAAAAAAGTTTTGTTTATAATTTATAACCATTATTTTAACTTTTTTTTTTACCGTAATTATTATTGGTTTAATTAACGAATAAATTATGATATAAAGTATATTTTATACATTAAAATTAACATATAATTATGTTTTACGCCATTTAATATATATATAAAATTATATATATTAATCGGTAAAATTTTATTAATTATTAAATTTAATAATAATTAAAATAATTATATTAAAAATTATTAAAAACGATATATTAAATAACGTAAAATAAAAATAAAATAAATAAATATATAAAATTATAAAAAAAAAATAATTAATTTTAATATAATAATTTAAATGTTTAATATAATGGTTATTTTAAACGTAAATTAAAACTTATAATTATTAAACGGATATTGGTTAAAACCGATTAAGTAAAATAAAAGTTTAAATTAATTTAAAAAAATAATTATTTATTATATGTATATGTAACTTTTATAAGTAATAAGAAATTTATATTAAAGTTAACCATTTTGTTGGCTAGTTAAAAGCTATTTATAACGTTGGTTATAAACCTCGTTTGTGCGACAATGTACTTGTAAAAAAGGTGTTTATTATGAGAAAAACATGGGATAAAAAGGGACCCCCATACCAACGTGTGGTTTCATTCTTGTATATATTAAAAAGACGTTAACTTAAACATGTGATGCATCTTGGATGCCTAAAGAAGTTAATGAATACTTATTGCCGCAGAACCGAGCTAATAGTTGCTAGGGATTTTGATAAATAATTCGAATCCTCGGTATATGTCCTCGGTATATGTCCTCGGTATATGTCCTCGGTATAGGAGCCGTTTTGATCTAAGCGCTCTTAAATCCGTAGAATTTCGCTAGACCTGCCGATTCCCGCCGGTATTTCGAGCAGGACGCGAAATTAGCGACGATTATAACCCTATTTCGTCATCAGGCTATACTCGTTTCGATTGACCCCTTGCATGTCTTTCATATTTCAGTCCATGTTGAGAAGGTAGTATAACCGAATCAAGAGTATCCCGGCTTGAAACTTGAATCCTTCGAGACGATTTACATACATACATATATATTATCTTGGGCGGACTGGGGTGCGTATGTTGGTTCCAAATCATCGGAACCAGGGGCAGCGTAACCCTCCAATGGCTATGCTGCAGATTACACCTTCACCTTGGGGTAACATCGACAAAGATTCCTCATGTTCTACCGTCTCTTGCATACGACGTTTTCGTACACGTGCTTATCATTATATGTGGGCAAACGGAGTTTCTAAATAATGAGAGTGGTATTGAATGTGACGTCGGCGGTAGCATCTAACCTCACTACCTACATACCTACCTACCTTTTTGTGCCGCACGGGTGTGAGTTTAGCAGCATTGTCACATCCCCCACCACCACCCTTTTGACATGATACGTCTCTTTTTATATGTATGTATCTTATGTCCTAGAATGGAGAAGCCATATCCCCATTAGAAGAGATGATGCGGCCAATCGGGCCGTCGTCGTAGTCCGAAATCATACCTTAAAGCTTAGGTCTTACGTAGGACCTGACCTGGTGGGCGTGTAAGTCCCGCATAACTGGTGGGTAGGTATGTATGTCTTCGTGGGCAAAGTAAGCACTGCAATAGTCGATAGTCGATAGTCGTAAAATATTTACATTAACCGCAAATCGCAAATAAGCATTGTTATTATTAAAATATAATGTATTACCTACCTGGTATTTTCTTATAACAGTCGTAGAGAAAAACAGGGTTTAGGCCTAACCACTGCACCGCTTCATCACCGTTCTAGGACTACAGCCAGTAAAAGTGATAGTATTATAATTGTGCCCATGCATGCTCGTAGTGTCTCGTTCCTTTACCGTAATCATTATCTCATATGTGCCATACCCGGTACATGATACTGAGCAGTTCAATAGAGTAGCTTCACCTAGGTAGCTAGCCAGCTGTATGAGAAGCTCGCAGCTATCGTTTAATTATTCTATGTTGTTGTTGTTGCTGTCGAACGATCTGTTCTGATGCTTTACCCGATACTTCTCGCCGCCATTGCCGGGCTCTTCGCTCACAATGGCGTCTTCATCCGCGGCGAATGGCATCTTTATATTCCACAGATCGTAGCTGTCCACTTTCTACTATGGCTAGGTACGTCAGGTCTCGTGTACCAAGCCTTAGGCTTCGTTTCCGTTGGAGACGCTTTTCGGGAGGCTTCCATTATAGCGGCGTCATATTTTACTGCTATATTTACTAGCATGACGATTTATCGCTTGTTCTTCCACCGTCTGTCTAAGTTCCCAGGACCAAAGCTTGCTGCTGTCACTAAGCTATGGCACGTATTCAAGATTCGACACTCGACAAATCACTTGTGGTTGAAAGAGCTGCATGAGAAGTATGGGAGTGTCATACGAACAGGTAGGTCTATACCCCTATTCTACACCAACGTCGGTTGATCTTAATGTTTCATACATGCTGACTATTTCGAATAGGTCCCAATGAAATTACTATTGTACACCCAGCTGCATTTAGGCTGCTTGACGGATGGGGAACTTCTACTACTAAAGATATATGGTATGATATCTTGAAGCCAAGGAGCTCTGCTGTCTTCACTCGGAGCGAACAGGAGCACAAAGATGGTCGTAGGGCCTGGGTGCAGGCGATCTCCGGGAAAAGTAAGGGGACTCTCATCTGACAAGGTCTAACATATCTTAAGGGATTTGGTAACTAACACGTTATCCAGCCATGAATTCGTTTAACCCGCGCATTTCTCAGCACGTGCAGGAGCTATGCGAATGTTTCCGTGGATTTGGCGGTACTCAACCAGTGCACATAGATGAACAAGTGTCTCGATTCACTTTCGACGTAGTTGGAGACATATTATTCAACCAAGACTGGAAACTCGTCAAGACCCAGGCCTGGCATCCATTTTTCGATCACCGAGACCGTGCTTTCGAGCTGGTCGGGCCTATCAATGATGTAACTTGGCTCGCACACATGATCTTCTCCTTAGCCCCCTTTTGGCATCGGGTTCAGGATTGGTTTAAGATGGTTGCATTCTGCGAAGATCGAATGAAGCAACGTATAAATGTAAGTTTCCTGTTATTGAGGAATAATGTCATTACTAACGGTAGTATGATATAGGAGGGCGATAATATAGATCAGGCGGACATGGCAACTCACTTCATCGACGAATATCAAAAACTCCATAGATTCCATACCATAGAGGAACGCGATCTTTATCTTCACGGAACAGCAGTTACAGCTGTAGTCGCAGGCAGGTGAGTCAATCATAGCCCCTATTCTGCCCCCTGACGTTTTACCATCGCTACTAGGTAGCACATATACTAACACCGCCCTTGGTTATCATAGCGATACCACCCGAGCTGCTCTAATTGCTTCATGCTGGTTCCTTGCGCGGTATCCCGAGCACGCCAAGAAAATATACGAAGAGACTCAAGGTGTAGACACGAGGGACCCTAACGCTCTTGCTGCCCTGCCTCACCTCGAGGGATTCATCCAAGAGACCTTGCGGCTCGTACCACCCGCTATGACTGGTGCCGCACGAATAACCGGACTAGATGGTTTGATGGTCGACGATATCCTAATCCCCCCTTATACCAAGGTCACGGCGCCCAAATATGTCATCATGCGATGTAAGTACTAGACAATAGACATAGCCATCAAGATGTCTATCTATTAGAAATAATAGCTAATTTGTATAATAAGTGGAATCCGCCTTCGCCCATCCCAACGACTTCATCCCCGAGCGGTGGTACTCGCGCCCCGAGCTCATCCTCGACAAGCGCGCCTTCGGGCCCTTCTCGACCGGCGGCCGGCAGTGCGTCGGCAAGCCCATCGCGTACGCGGAGCTCCGGCTCTTCGCCGCGGGCCTGGTCCGGGATTTCCATCTTAAATTTGCGCCTGGCTACGATCCGATGACCATGTGGCGCGAGATGAAAGACCAGATCACGGCGCAGCCCGGGCCGGTGGAGATTATCTTCGAGCCGAGAGAGAAGGCGGTTTGATCTTCGTCTTGGGGAATCTTGAGCAATTTTCTTGGGAGGGGGGATTTGGCTTGGAGTAAGGAGCCTTGGGTTGTGGTTAGGTATTACCGTTGTGAGCTGATGGAGGTGATTCGGTTTAGCACGTTGTTGGGGACTTAGGCGTGGCTGGACTAATAACTTGGATACCCTGAATTTGATCTCAACCGCCTTTCGTATTATTTCTTTTGACTAGGTTAGCAGGAGGTCTATTTCGCTTCTTATGCGATTCATGGAACACAGTGCCTTTGATTATGACTAGGGAGCATAGCCTATCTAAGCTAACTAGGATACATACCTAGGTTAACTATGCCTACAAATATTAAAGCATTTTAAAAGAAGAAAAGGAATTGTGAGACTACTTTAAACCTCGTTGGTTTAATACGAACTAGAATATGATGCTTCTAGGAAGCGTTCTTTTACACGAGGTCCACATGAGCCAAACTGGGAAAGCAAGCGGCCAACTCTACGATAGATATGTTAATGGGCAAGATGTACTTTATTAACCCATCAAGGCCAGTGTCGTAGCTAACATAAGAAATCGAAATCAACGTGGAGTGGAGTACCTAGACCTAGACTCTAGAAAAACCAGCCGATAATCAAGAGCTACCTACAGCATCGTACTACAATACACCAACGTCACACCGACGAGTGCGAAGATGACTACTACCTATAGAAACTCAGGCTATTAGAAAGACGTGGTGCACAAAACCGCCACCACTAAAATAACGAGAATCCACCTTCAGCAAGTCCAACTCCCTGCAAAAAACGAATATCGTAATCAACGAACAAACAATCCCCAAACGCGTAAACAAAAAGTCTCAAAATCCCATCATCATAGTCCACAGTTCCTTCTCCCTCTGCAAGACCATACGATCCCTCGCGAGGGCCTGGGCGAGGCCAAGCCGTCGGTTGATACATCGCCCCTGGCAGCGGCGGGAGGACGGTGTGCTGCTACCACTCATTGTGCCGGGTTCGCCGACTCCCGGGACACCGACAAGAGTAACGAGATCGTCGATAGGCCGCGGAATGGGAGACGAGGCCGGTCGAAGGCCGGGGTGGGCGAATACCGAGGGTCTGTGGAAATACGGTCCAGCTCTCGATTGAGGTTGCGATTGCGGCTGGATCGTCGAGTATGACGCCGGGATTCCAAAAGGATTTCCGTTAACAGGACCTGCCTAAGGCTGCGGCGCAGAGATGGATGCTGCTGATCGGGGTCGTTTCAAGCTAACTGCTCCGGGACGCACGTAATAGTCGTCGTCCTCATCGGCCTCTTCCTGGACCGGACCGTCCATTTGAGAATCGCCGCGGAATTTCGTGGGTGCAAATACAGGAGTGACGGCGGGCATGACTCGATCAAAGTACTGAGGGGGCAAAGGACCTCTGATCTGAGTAGGATGAGCGGAATTGCCAGACTGGCGTCGCTTGGCTTGCATAGTATGAAGTGTTGGCGAGGAAGCCGGGGTGGACGGGTCGGAAGACGAAGTCTCTATAGTGTTGTGTATTTCATTAGGTAGCGCGGCAGGATTATCGTCCTGGGAAGTTGAAACCCCTGCTGGGCCAGAGATTTTTTGACTTGCGACTTCAAGCTCACTGTTGCTGTTGAAATCTTCTCCTAACGACGAAAGGCTTGAAGTGGGCATCGTAGCGTCCCACAATCCCTAAAGGGCGCCAACATTAGAACTAATACAAAACTATTAGAGGGGTGAAGAACTTACCTGAACCTGAAGGGGGTCAGTTACGAGCCCGCCGGCCATCATACAGGAGCCATCGCGAGAATCTCCAGGAATCTCAGCGCCGGGTCGGTCATAAACAATGCCAAAGTCATCAATGTGGTCTTTGACGATCTCATCTAGTCGACGTCTTTGTTCGAGTTTCTCTAGGTCAGCAGCCTGAGCACCCTGAGTAGAAGTTGATGCGTTGGCTGTGGTGCTGTTCACTGCCGGGTATGATTGCTGGTGTCCACGACTTGCGCCTGACTGTTGCTCTTCATGCTTAGCTTTCATCTTGTCTTTGCCGGATGACTTGTGACCATTGAATTGGCCGGGGGGGTTCGACGATAGTGCATTACCAGCCTCCTGATCATCATGTTTCTTTTCGCCAGACATGGTCGGGACTAACGGCATCTCCTAAGTGCCTTCGTCAAACCAATCACCATTCTCCTTCCACGTCTTGTTCGCCAAAAGGCCTGCTGAGAGATCAACTCCATCCGAAGTGCCCTGCTTACGCTTCTTGCCTGATGCACCATCGTTGTCCTCTGACTTCCTCTTTCCACCACATACTTCCTCACTTGCGGAAGCACGCTCGGTAGAATATCCGTTTAATGTCGGATATTGAGGGACATCGTTAGATTGACCGGTAGCCTCTGAGCATGGCAATGGGATGGAGAATTCTTCGTCGGAATTCATCTTGCTTGTGTTTCTCTCATCAATGGGATTCAACCTAGGATTTTCGTGGGATACTAGTAGTGGTCCAAGGTGTTCATTGAACCTAGATTCTAGTTGTTGAATGGTATCGTACAGTTGTTCTCGCTTGGAAGAGTGATCCTTTCTACACAATTTTTTGAGATGAGAAAGCCTTTTAACGTGTTGGCGTACCTTCTTTCTTAAATGCTTCTGTCCCCGTAGTAGTTTTTCTTTCGACAGCCGGTCGTCCGGGCCGAGCTGCGTTTTCTCGTCCTCACGTAAGAGTCCCTTGTTAAGCTTATTGTGTTTTAAGATGAGCTTTTCGGTCTTGGTTGAAAAGATGCGGAGCTCTCCGGAGGTTAAAGACGGCACGGCCTTGAGCCTTGAACTACTGCCGGAGCGGGATCTTGTTAGTGAGCCGTGACTCTTGTTAGTGTCAATATGCGGGTCAACTTTTGGCAACCGAGATGTCAAATCTCGGTTCGAAGTAGAATCCACCATCATTGACAAATTTATGAATGGGGCAGAGAAGCTCTTAGAAGAGATAATGCAGATGAAACGGAGATGCATCGAATGTAGTACCATGTTCCGCGAGAAGAATGAAATGGTCTACTTACCTATTTACTTTCCAAGCGACCCTAGAAACGTTTGGTGCCTACCTGCTAGACTGCTGACTGCTGACTGCTAACCGCAGGCTGCATATTGATTGATACTTAGGTGAGGTTTGTTGCAGTTGCTGCTGTTGCTGCTGTTGCTGGGTTTAGCTTGAATTAAAGCTCTCAGTACCTCCTATGTATACTTTCATAGCGCACAGATTAGTTAGATTATATCGAACTACATATCGGGATTAAAGTACCGATATCTTATCAACCAGTTCTAGACCTAAACCAGCCAAGTTCACCCGCAAGTAGCAGTGCTAGACCATTGAACCTCGGTTCGAATCGTTAGATCATGTGGGACTTGTATTCCTAATACCGGACAGTTGCCCATCTTTGTCGCGTTCGAGCTTCAAGAACCGATTAGCCACTCTAAGTATACACATATTTAGAACTCTCTACCTATAAATCCATACTACACCCATATACATCCCCAATTCCAACTAGACGAACATCAACCTCAGTGAAACCGAAAATGAGCAGTCCAGGAGCCGGGTTTGAATATCCTCCTACCGAGGTATCGTGGACAAAGCGCGATGTCTTGCTGTTTGCCAACACTATAGGCTGTACTTCCGACGAGCTTCACTTTCTCTACGTTAGTTTCCTTTTGCTTATACATGCTATTGCCATCCATCGTATCCTTCTAACGGTCTAATAGGAGCTCGATTCCAATTTCTCGGTGTTCCCGACCTACCCGGTCATCCTCCGTAAGAATTGCCCTGCGAACCGATTGAAATATACGCGATTAACAATATATAGCTTTCAAGAAGAACCAGCAGGAAGTCATTGACTTCTATGCCTCGGAGAAAGCAGTCAAAATCCCTGGCGTGCCCGACTTCGATGCGCGACGAGTTGTTGACGGCCAGCGACTTGTCCAATTCCTCAAGCCCCTCCCTACGACGTCGGCTGGCAGAAAGTTCGAGCTCCGGACTAAAGTCCTTGGTGTATACGATAAGGGCCGACCAGGCTCGGTCGTCGAGATTCAGCAAGACCTAGTAGACGTCGCGACAGGTGAAGTCTACACGCGCGCCATCGGCAGCTCGTTCTACGTGGCGCAGGGCAACTGGGGTGGTCCGAAGGGTCCCGCAACTGAGAACTTCCCTCCGCCAAAGGACAAGAAGCCGGATGTCGAGTTCGAGAACCAGACCAATGCGCAGACACCCCTGCTGTATCGGTTGAACGGCGACTACAACCCGCTCCATGCGCACCCGGAGCCGGGCAAGAAGATGGGATTTGGCGGTGTCATCATCCACGGCTTATACTCGTTTAACTCGGTCTGTCACGGTCTGCTGCAGAAATTGGGTGGCAGCGACCCGGCCAATATTAAGGAGTTCCAGGCCCGATTCGCGAGTCCTGTGCGCCCTGGAGATAAGATAGTCACATCCGTATGGAGAACTGGCCAGGTGAAGGAGGGGTGGGAAGAGGTTAGATTTGTGGTTAAAGTTGCGGGCGGGAAGGTCTGTTTGAGTAACGGGAGGGCGTTGATGAAGGTTGTGGGAGAATCCAAGAGCAAGCTATGAACGGGATTTTGTATTAGCAATGATTTTAAGCCATAAAAGTTGTTAATTATGGATATGTAAAATGAGTATATAGCGATTAGCTATATTGCAATATTATTTTTCAAACTTGAAAGGCATTCTAGGGTAGAACTTGATAGTGTGTAGGTAACAACATCCCCTGTGACGCCGTAACAGTTTCCCGGTAACAAATAAAATTGTTGCCTGATCCAACTCTCCATATATTCTACATTACCAGACTGAATAGTCTGCAAGAAGCAGACACATTTTTTTTTTCAATGTTATTATAGCGAAATACTATTACGATGGCTACAACTCCAAAGGTCGGCGACCGATTGTCTTACGACGGCGCTATTTGTACAGTTCGATATGTCGGCGAAGTCAGTGGTACGTCCGGTAGTTGGCTTGGCGTCGAATGGGACGACCCAACCCGCGGGAAACATGACGGTTCTCATAAGGGAGTGAGATATTTCACTTGTAAGTACCTAGGATAATCATATAAAATGAATGATAGAAATCTAATTATGAGGCGGCCGCTCTAAATCAGCAACGGCCGCGTCTTTCGTACGGCCAACGCGGCCCATAGAGAAGCCGCAGAGCTTCGTGAGGGCAGTGACTGAGAAGTACGCCTCCGAGCTGGAGAAGACGACTGCGATTATGTTTTCGAACAAGATAGCAGAGGAAGTTGGGTTCGAAAAGATCCAACGCAAGCAGGCGCAGTTATCCGAACTAAGAGCCGTCATCGTCGATGGTGCACGTATCGCAACGGCTTATTTAGAGGGCGACGGCCCCATTAGTGAGACATTTCCCAAGATAACCGAGTTGGACCTCAGCCGGAACCTATTTCAGAACGTGGGGACCGTCGTGACCATCTGTTCCGAGTTACCTGCTCTACGAAGTTTGCGTTTGAAGTAAGTCTATAGATCACGGACGAGACTGTATTAGGTCGCTAATTGCAGGATAGTGGAAATCGTTTTCAAGACGTATTTAATGATAAAGTTCTTGATAATGCAGAGAGTTCCTTGCGGAACATCAAGGACTTGGCTTTGGATGACACTCTCATGAGCTGGGAGGAGATATGCCATATTGCAACCAAGTTTAAGATACTCTCATCCCTCTCATCCAGTGCGAACCAATTATTCTCTCTGCCGGAGACTCAGTTATCGACACTATCTTCTACTTTGACTTCTGTGGATTTGGAGTTCAATAATTTCACCACCATCGCTGATGTCGCCAGCCTGACCGGATTAACGTCACTTCGTAATCTTCACCTCAAAGGAAACTTCATCACTAGCATCACCCAGGATCCATCCGATAATCTACCAGTGTTTTCGGAAACTCTGAAGTATCTAGATGTCTCATACAACGAAGTATCATCGTGGGCGTTCGTCGACGCCTTACCAACATGTTTCCCAGGCTTGATATCCCTCCGCTTCTCGCATAATCCTATATACGACAACCCAGATCCCGAATTTTCTACCCAGTCCAAGGCAATCACGGAAGAAGCGTACATGTTCACAGTTGGCCGGCTAGCGAATCTCAAGATACTAAACTTCGGTACGATATCGAACACCGACCGCCAGGACGCGGAGATGTTCTACTTGGGCCGCATCGGCAAGCATCTAGCCACTGTCCCGGAGAACAAGGAAACTGAAATCATCAAGCAGCACAGACGCTACGCCGAACTATGTGAGCTATATGGCCCACCAGTCGTTAACAGGCAAAAAGAGATCAATCCCGCTTTTCTAGAAGCCAGACTAGTTACGGTACACTTCACCTTCCACCCTAAAGCTAAAGGAGGCGAGATAGTAGAACGGACAACTAGGATCCCAAAGAGCTTTGATATATACGCCGTGAAGGGGATTGCTGGCAAGCTGTTTGGGGAGAATCCGCTTGGCGTACGCTTGATTTGGGAGACCGGGGAATGGGATCCGGTTGCAGGATTCGACGACGAAGTTGAAGATAGCAGTGATGAAGAGGAGGAACAGGAGAAAGGAGAAGTGGGAGAAGCTGTAGATACAGGGGAGGGCTCCCAAACGGACACAAAGACCGGTAAGTGGGTCAAGCGAGAGGCAGAGCTGCAAGACGGGCCCCGGCAGCTTGGGTTTTGTGTCGACGGCTTGGATGTAAAAATCAGAGTTGAGGCCCGATGATAAAGGATACTCCAGGTAGATCTTAGTCCATTGGTATAATAAAGCTAAAGATACTATTCAAGTCAACGTAGAGGGTTAGCTTAATCGTATAACCCAAACCCCAGAAGGGTTCCCATCGAGTGAGTGAAGACACTAAGACAAGTTACAATAGATTGCAGCATCTTGTTCATGATGTCTGACAAGTTTCCATCTTCATTGGCTTAACTGCATGAATGGTACAAACAGGCAGTCCTTGCATAACTGACAAGCAAACGAAACGGATATCTGCCCAAACGACTCACCAGAGGTTTGTCCCTGGGGTTGCTACATGGCTACTATGGAATCAAATCTGCACACATATACGGAACTTGAACTGATTAACCTACACTAACCCAGGCTATTCTCATCGTTCAAGTTGAACTTACACTCCGGAGTTCTAGAGCATGACTTATATCTCCAACCTAACAGAAATATGGATAACCGAGATAATAACCAACACATCGGTGGGGGAGTAGAAGCGGGCAGTCAGCAGCGAGTTACCAGCTCCGACTCTACTCCTAGTCCCCGACCAACGCAGAACCAGACACCACTACCGCATTACTTCATCGTCCGCCCAGGAACGACAAAGCACACAGCGTCAGGCACAGTAACAACACCCGGACCCATCGTGCCTCTCATCGCCGTAGACCAACTACCCGAATGGCTAGACTTATTCGGTGTGCCGCGCGAGCTAAGCGTCGAGCAGACCGTCGGTCTCTGCAACCTAGGAACCGCGGTCAGAAATCCCGAGTTCTACCAGGTGCATATGCACAATGACCTCCAAGCAACTCCGACTGCTTCCCAAGAGGACTATCACGCACAGACAGAGCAGACCCTACGAGGCCGAGCACAGGGTACGAATGACAGTAGATTGGTGCCTGTCGACATTCCCACAATATCGGCCTCTCCCTCCACCTCATCATCTACATCGTTGACATCGGCAGAAGAAGGGTCGACGGCAAGTTCGCGGGAAGATCTAGTCTCGGAATCCTCTCCTACCCCTAGCGGTCCCAGTACCCAAGCCACCAGCAACAGCAACCCCCACACCAAACCAGACAAAACCAGCTCCAACAGCACCAATACCACAACAAGCCAACACCCAAGATTCCCCTCACCAACCGTATCAGGCAGCACGCCCCCCACACCCCCAAACGCCCACTTCCTCCCATCCTGGTACCCCCCATCCTGGTACCCCTCCCGCTCCCGCAACAAACCCTCCCACCGACACGCCCCCAGACCCAGCAGCCACAGCCATACCGCCGGCAGCCCCTCAAGCACATACTGCAAACACTGGTGCCACCGCGGCACCTGCCGCTGGGGCGCGCAATGCCGATACGCGCACGAGATGCCGACGACAGCCGCGGGCCTCCGCGACGTCGGGCTCGCGCACCACCCGGCGTGGTATACCACCGCCGTGAATATGGCTTTCGGGCCGGGCGGGTTCGCTCGCGGGGGCAATGTCGGTGTGTTAGGGTCGTGTCCGCCGCCGCCGCAGTCTGCTGCTGCTGCTGGTGTGTTGCGGTGTAGGGAGAAGGTTAAGGAGAAGAAGAATGTTGGAGCGGGGGCGGCGGCGGGGGTAGGAAAGGGGAAGGGGTTGGATGGGAAGAGTAGTGGTGGTGATGGGGTGTCGGCGGAAGCTGAGCAGCGGGAGGAAGACGCTGCGGAGGAGAATGTTGATGTTGGTAGTGACCAAGGGGAAAAACAGCCGGATGTTGTTGAGAAATTAGTTGAGATCTAAGAGAATTAATAAAAAGCTGTTGGGATGATCTCATATTGTGGAGTCCACGCCGTAAATACTGCTTATGATAATACTGCTTATGATAAAATAAGACGAATACACACATGCACCGAACAGACATCCCTAATCCGTGGTAGCCGTATGCGTAACATAAGCAAATAGTGTATTTGATATCATAGTTGGTTATTGCTGCTAGGCCAATGAAACGAGACTCACAACTCCAACCATGCTCGCAGACAAAATGAACACGGCTAAAGACGTTATAAAACCGCCGCCGCCGCCGCCGCCGCCGCCGCCGCCGCCGCCACCGCCGCCGGACGGAAGAGGCCCCTTAGCATACATACCCCGTCGCCCAGCTTTATACAGTTGCCTCTCTCCTCGCTTTTCCAACCTCATCCCCAGCCTAGCCCTGGTCCTGGTCCGCAGCTCATCTCGTCGTCTATTAGGACTCATACCGTTTCGTACTTCTCTGCACCTCGCATAGCTTAGCTTAGCTCAGCTTAAAAGCTCATCTCCTTCTTGATCTCGGCAATCGCTAGACCTGGGTTTAGGCCCTTGGGGCAGGTCCGCGTACAGTTGAGGATGGTGTGGCATCGGTACAGGCTCATCGAGTTGTCGAGCGCGGCCTTGCGCTCTGCCTTGCGCTCGTCGCGAGAGTCGGCTAGCCAGCGGTACGATTGTAGGAGGATGGCAGGTCCTAGGTACTCCTCGGCGTTCCACCAGTATGAGGGGCACGATGTCGAGCAGCACGCGCACAGGATGCACTCGTATAGACCGTCTAGCTTTCGGCGCTCAGCCTTGCTCTGTCGGTATTCCTTGCCCTACGTAATTAACACTGTCAGTATAAGAGACAAAGAGAGATCATCTCGGTGGATTGGTGTCGTACATCTGGGGCGGGGGTATCCCGCTGTAGGTAAGGCTTGATCGATTTGTACTGCTTGTAGAAGTGCGTCAAGTCTGGGACGAGGTCCTTGACTACGTATGTGTGGGGTAGCGGGTAGATCTTCATCTCAGCGCTGGTGTCTGTGGGGATGCGGCCTATGAACACCGTGTTAGCCGCAATGTCGTCTTGCTTTTCTGCGTTGCCAAGACGACTTACACAAGCAAGCCAAGGTATTCGTCCCGTTAATGTTCATCGCACAGCTACCGCAGATACCTTCTCGGCAACTTCTGCGGAAGGTCAACGTGGGGTCTAGCTCGTTCTTGATCCTGACCAGGGCATCGAGCACCATGGGTCCCGTCTTGTTTAGGTCCAGTGTGTACGTCTGCATCCTCGGCTTCTCGGTCGGGGTGTCAGGGTTCCATCGGTAGATTTGGAACGACTTCATGCGGGAATCGGTGGTGCTTTTCGGATTCGCCTCGACGGTGGCGCCACCTACTGAGGCCATCGATCGCACGAACACGGACGGGAGCACGGCGGACCGCGACGAGGCGGCAGCGGCGAAGAGCCGTGATGAGGTAGAGCGGAGAGCTGCCATTGCGGGCAAATTCGGGAGAGCAGTTTTTGCTAGTTTAGCTGGATGATTCCCTTTTCCTCGCCGTCGCTATTGGCAATTAGGTGAGCCAAGGTATAAGAGGACCAAAATCTAGGACAATATATTGAAACTAAAAGAGAATCAACCGGCCGAGCAATTATTCAACCAGAAGTTGTTACAGGAATAGTGGCAAAAGAGGAATTGAGGTCTTCCATCATCGAACTTTCCACCCGACCCGGTTTGCCCTCGGCTATTGGAATGAAAGGTTCCGGCCAATCACATGCTTTCAATTAATCAACTCATACGGGCCGTTACTAATTCCGACCCGACTTCCACATGCGGACACTTAGGTAGGTACCGTTCTTAGATCTAGCGCCGTCTATCGAGCCACTATGTTGTCCGATAATTTCTTAGAAGGACCAATAAGCTTAGTCCACACTGAATCGCATCATGCACTGTGGCATACCTCTACGTACATTAGCCTAATAAGTAAGCCAATGATCGAAGACGTATTTCATATTCTTGCATGTAAGCTAGCCACCAGGGTTAATACCTATAGGTACATACCTATTCTACCGATACATGTAGTTAAGGAGCAAATGTTCGTCAGTTCATTTCCACTGCCTTAATACTCTCAGCTAAACTCTCATGACTTAAACTCTCATGACCTTGCCCGAATCCTCCAAACGCCGACACAGATTACAGATGCAATACGAAACCCCCACCAGCCGCCGGAGAGATGACACCTGTCGTTGAATAATAGATATAATTAGAGAACGTCCTCGCTAGAAAGATCGTCACTCAGACTATCCGTCCATCTCTTCTTCTCCCGTATCCGTGTCTCCTTCTTCCGCATACATGTATTCTTCTTCCGCATACATGTCTTCTTCTTCTTCCGTATCCATGTCGTCATCCATATCGAAGTCTAGTATCTCTAGCAAACCTTGTTAGCACTTGCAATCTTCTCGGAATGGAGTTTTGACCTACCCGGGTCTATGTACAACTGCAGTGCCTCAAGCTCCGCCTTCATGTTCGGTCCTCGGTAAGAGAATGACCTGACCCTGTGATCATAGCTTTTTCCAAAGCTTACCGCAACCCCGTCACCGTCAATATAAATATTAGTTAGGTGGATAGACTCAAGATGTGTGCTGGATCGGAATAGTTCTCTAAATAGTCGACAGAACGTATCGAAATTATGATCGAGGAAAATTATATTGGTAAGGGTCAATCTTCGGAGGCTAGAGCACTTTCGAATAATAAGAACGAGGCTCTGCAGAGGAAGTGTGCATTTCTTAAGCTTGCACTCATGGACTTTCGTGAGTGCAGGAGTATTTGGCGGTTTGAGCTCAGGTGGTCCTTCATAATCATTACATGAAATCGAAGCCCCTAACCAGTCGAAGAAAGCTTCATCACGCGCCATTTCTCTGAGATGCAAGGCTTCGAGGTGGGTTGCATGTGAAAGGAATGTGCGTAAATAATACGTGTCGATTATAACTGGCACTCCATCATTTGGTGAAATCACGTGTGGAAAGGGGCAACCCGGGTTGAGCCCAAAATCGATAGTTTCTAGGCCAGAGATTATAGGCAAGATAGTATCTTTCGCAAAGCCAGGGATGCAAAATGCTTGCTCATCATCCAATCCATCAAGTATTGCGCAAATATCAAGTCGTCTCGGCCTTGATCTTGATTCTCCTAGCGCAAATAGTACAGACTGCACACAGCTTGCGATTCTAGATAAGAATTGCCAACGGCTAGCGCGCCCTACATGAAATATACGGGACGGGGCGCCGGTTTCCCTATGGACCTGGGAAGTTCCTAAACTGATGGCCCTATGGCTGGCGCAATTGCACCGGGTGTCGTGAAGTAAATCACAAACCCCGACTCTTTCAAGTTTGAGATTGCGAAAGGCCTTGATAAGAAATTGCTGATGGCGTCCAGTATTTAGAAATGCTAACTGGTCGGCAGCCAGTTGGGTAAACTTGTTGATCTTGACATGCATCTCGGTAGACACGTCGTTGATATTGGAGTATTCACGAGCTCCACCGAAGTGTTCGAAATGGAGGTCTGCCTCGACAACTACGTGTTTTAGGTAGGGCGACAGGCGGGATTCTGAGATGTCCACAAGAGCCTGTAGGCTATATTCGGTACACATGAAACGGATCATAGTGAAGTATTTTTGAGCGAATTTTCGGAAGAGCGAGCCTTCAAGTCGTCTACATACCAAGCGAGTAGTTGTAAAGTCTCGTCTATTGAGGTGTGAAACGATCAGGAGCAGTATTTCTAAGGGGATGGTAGTGAGGTTCGGCGAAGGCATTGTTAGAGGTTGTATAGACACGTCAACTTCAAAAGAGGCACCTAAGGTAAGTAGTAGTATTGGCGATAACTACGTGACAATGTTGAAGTTTAGAATGAAATTGATATTGATGTGCAAATGATCAACTCTCTATTTCAAGCTTTATTTCAGGCATTCGCCCTTTCCTCCTTTTTTTACGCAAATAATCCGCACGTACATGGGCATATTTGATAGAATAATGGCAATCGCAGAGCATGAGCTTTCCACGTTAGACTGCCAGGGTCGCGCCTGGGCGGTTAGCTAATCCCGACACCAAGTTCGAGATACATGTATCTATGTACATAGGTAGACAATTTGACATAACAGATACATCAAGGTACCTAGGTACCTACCTGGACAGTTGTTGCCGCCTGCCACGAGTTTGCCTCTCTAGCACAGTTCAAAGTAGGAAATCAAACGTTGCGGATTGAATCGCAGACATAAAATCTAAATGAAGGATGTGAGGCAGTTTACATAGTATAGCAGGTTGTGGCCACTCATGGAAAGCCGCCTTTTCAGCTTATATCACGATGCTCTCGAAGATACATAATGGTGTATTATCTAGACCTTTAATTACAAATATTCAGCACCAACCGAGGCCGCCGGTCTCGTCCTCGACTCTCTTGCGACAGCTTGCCTATCGCACTCGAACATTCTCTGTACAACCGATTCTTCGATCCCAAGAAACGCAATCGAAAGCAGACTCTACGCGCAAATTCATATACCATGCGGCCGCTTCGTTTTCTGCCAAATATAAGAGGTTCAACCCGACAAACGACGTCTTCCATTTCAATCCCTATAATCGCATCCAGACGCAGAAGAAGCGTCCCAAATCGAAGCGTCCCGCGAGTGGACAGGATGCTTTCTTTATAAGTCGTGTGGGCGACACAAACGCCGTTGCCTTCGGCATTGCAGACGGCGTTGGAGGCTGGGAAGATAGTGGCGTTGACCCAGCCGACTTCTCACACAGCTTCTGCGACTATATGGCCTCAGCAGCCTATGAACATAGGTTAGATGCAACTGGTTCGTCCTTGACGGCCAGATCTCTAATGCAGAAAGGATATGATGACGTATGTCAGGATGGATCCATACATGCTGGGGGTAGTACAGCCTCGATTGGTATCGCGAGCGAAGATGGCAAGCTAGAAGTTGCTAACCTAGGTGATTCGGGATTTGTGCATTTGCGTCTGAATGCTGTACATAGCTATTCGGAGCCGCAGACGCATGCCTTTAACACACCGTATCAGTTATCCATCGTGCCGGCAAGCATGCTGGCACGCGCCGCCGCATTCGGAGGGGCACAATTGTGCGACTATCCCAGAGATGCGGACGTCACACAGCACACGCTGAAACATGGGGATATACTTGTCTTCGCGAGCGACGGAGTCTGGGACAACCTATTCAACCAAGATGTACTTCGCATAGCTAGCCGGTTGATGATCGGGCTAGGCGCCTGGCAAGCAAGTGATGGTGGTATACTCGTCCCTCACAACTTACTACCCTACACCCAGGCAGAAGACTCGACGCAGCGGCCGTTGACGCTTCAGAGCGCACTAGCAGTAGAAATCGCGGGGGCCGCCAAACTGGCGAGCACGAACCAACGAGTTGACGGACCATTTGCTAAAGAGGTTCAAAAATACTATCCCCAAGAGAATTGGCACGGCGGCAAAGTCGACGACATCTGCGTCGTCGTCGTAGTGGTCTCTGAGGAAGGGAAATTAGAAGCAATCAAGAGCAAGCTATGAAACTACAATGACTAGTATTGTACCCAAGTTGAAAGAATATAGAATTATGCATCGCCAGGCGTTCAAAAGAAGGGAGGAATCAATATTTTACGAGCATTCCACAAGCATTCTGCATATAAAAGCAGGCGGACGGGCAGAGAAGGCAGGTCGTATGTACTTGTATGATATTCGCTGCTAAATATATACCTATTTATAACTCTATATTTCAACACGCATGTTTAATGGTAGATACCTATTATTATACCAACACCTCAAGGGGGCTGAGGTCTTCTGCTGTGATATGTATTGTTTTATGTGGTCATCCTTGACCGCTTTTCTTTGACCGGTGTTTCGAGGCATAAATGCCTATATGAGTGACACGAAGTACTCACGAAGTACTCACGAAATACGAATACATCCGTGTTTATGTGTAAAGATGTCCACATGCATACACATATAAGGTAAATATAGGTTAAAAGTCTTTAATAATTCACTGCTACTGTTATGCTCAGCGTAGTTTACAATATGTAGTACAATACCGTACCTACTATTTACCTATTACATGTGAATATATCTCAAGGGAAGTTTGACCAATGAAAGTATGGTGGGGAGTTGTCGTCAATCTAATTGCCAAATCCCAGCCTCCCCCACATAGTACGTCTATGTACATATGCACATAGGGAAGCTTTAGGTGGGGCGACGACGACTAATTCCACCTTCTTAATTCTTGGCCTGCAAGTGCAAAACTTCTACGTACGAAGTACAACAATCCCATTCCTCGATGTATCCAATTCTATAGCTATCTCAATTCGCTATAATTGGCCCGAAAGTTAATAACGCGCGCGACCATGGACGATACTGTCGTGCATTCAGTGGAAGACCTTCTGCCCGACTCGCTTGAAGTGCCTATTGATGGACCCTTGTCAATATCTGATCCCGCCGAAGTTTTCGGTGTCGAAGTTCCATCGCCGCAAATTCCCACTGACCTCCCCGAGGACACTTCGACTGGTACTACCCAGAGCGAATCTAGTAGCTTGAAGCGCTCTAGACCCCATGACGAGGCGGACGAAGGATGGCAAACCGTAAGCAAGCGCTCTTCCAAAAAGTCGAAAAAGGACAACAAGGAAAAGAAGGTTCCGGCGCCCCAATCGACCAATTACCCTTCCATCACGTTTAACCACAATGCCAAGCTCCAATCTAAGATCGCACTCGACTCGCTACGAAACCTCATCCTTTACATCTTCGCTGAAGGCGCAGCTCCTCAATGGGTTGCAATCTCCCAACGGCCGCAATTTCGAAAGATGGTCGCGATCATGGTACCGGGACTAGAAGAGGCTATGTTCAAGCAGGATGTCAACTTTGCGACGTATAATGACCAGCCCTTTAATTCGGATCAAAGGCCCCGAGTGTTAACATCTCCGGATGACTATTATCCGCGACTTCTTAAAAAGGACGAGCTTCCTGGAATCTTAAAGGACTTCGCAGATATGTTCAGTCACCTATGGCCTGTCAGAACGCCAGGTAACGAGAAATTTGGCACTATCCGCTCGCCACTTGGCACCATACTCACGGCGCCCACTGAAAAGACCAAAGAGGAGAAGAGTCAACGGGGGGTCCAACCTGCGAAGGAGCCAAAGGGTTGGAAGGACGACCGTACAAGAATCACCGAGTTTCTAACGATGCCAGAAGACTTCCTAGCCAATGGGTATATATTACATCCTGCTTGTATACCGGCAGAGCGGCGCAAAAACTTTCAAGATCTAGAGGGATGGGTTCATACTAATGTGGAGAATCTCGAAGATGGCGATATTCCCGAAGAGGAAATCCAACAAGGGAGTGTTACGGCGGGCCGAGAAATTCTCGCTCTTGACTGCGAGATGTGTGTAACGGGGCCAGAAGAGTTCTCTCTCACGAGAATCAGTTTGGTAGGTTGGGATGGAACTATTGTTCTCGACGAACTGGTCAAACCCGACAAGCCAATTCTTGACTATGTCACTCGTTTCTCAGGCATCACGGAACAAATGTTAGCCCCTGTGACCACTACACTTAGAGATATCCAGGCTAAGCTTCTGCAAATCCTCCATCCTCGCACAATTCTTATAGGGCATTCCCTAGAATCAGATATGAAAGCACTGCAACTTACTCACCCGTTTGTTGTTGACACTGCTATTCTCTTCCCACACAACCGAGGACCCCCGTTAAAAAACAGTCTCAAGTTTTTATCGCAGCGGTTCCTCAAGCGCGAGATTCAGAAGGGTATGATGGGGCACGACTCGATAGAAGACGCAAAGGCGTGTTTAGACCTTGTGAAACAGAAGTGCGAAAAGGGAAAATCCTGGGGCAACCAGGAGTCGGGTGAAAATCTATTCCGACGGTTGACTAGAACAGGAAAGGCTTATCGCGCGAATGGTGGAGTTGAGGCCAAAGGAGGCGTCCAAGTTGGAAAGACGAGCGCCATGATTGATTGGGGTGACCCCATGAAGGGTGCCGGAGCAGCTTCAACGTTCCCGATCGGGTGCAAATCGGACGAAGAGGTGACGGAAGCCATCATGCGCTCTGTGAGGGGTGATCCTGTCGGCGAAGAGATACCTTTTGGTGGCGTTGACTTTGTTTTCGCACGATTTCGCGAGTTAGAGGCATACCAGGGTTGGTGGAATGGGAAGAGCGACTTTCCGCCTCCCGACCTATCCAACATGTCCCTCGAAACATGTGTTCAGAACCTCACCCAGCGAATCAAGCGCATATACGACTCGTTACCACCATGTACTGGTTTCATCGTGTTTAGCGGTTCCGGCGATCCACGCGAAATGGCACGCCTGCAGGCCATGCAAGCCCAGTTCAAGAAAGAGTATCATACGCCGGGCAACAACTGGGACAATCTAAGCGTGAAGTGGACGGACAGGGAGGACCAAGCGCTAAAGAAGGCAGTCAGCGTTGCGCGCAATGGCATCGGTTTCATCGGTGTTAAATGAATTAACTAACTCCCTTGTACTCTTTTTTTTTTAAGGACGATGTATTTTCGGGATCCTTCTTAGGCATGTACGGTAGGTGTAGGGAGGCGGCATATGAGATACGAGCTACGAGCTACGATCGTGTTTGGCATTGGTATTCTGAGATACCCCATTTCTATATTCTTCGTCAGGGATAGGTTATGTACCTACCTACCTTACCTATATATAGGTAGTTACGCGAATTGGCTGGGCTTTTATGGCTTGCGTAGGTTAGATTATAACCGTTTAATAGGTATGATATAGTGCTTTCGCCTTTACAATTACAATATCTACTGTGAAGTTTTAGTTGGGGAAAGCCTCCCTTTATCACTGTAGAATGTTGGGAAAGGCGATCCGACGGGTATATACTCCCTTTTTTAAACTCTGCCGCAACGTTATTTCATCTTTGCATTGCCATAAGACTGCTGCTTCCCCAGACAAAACATGCTTTAGCCCAAACGCCTAGCAAGAACGGTGCGTGTGCTAATATGATATACTTATTAAAATAGTAGGTCTCCAAGATGTTGCTAGGACCTCTTCCTTCGATAGATGTGTATATAAACCATTGATCAGAATATCCCAGTCTCAATAACCAGATTTTAGGGACCGTCAAAAATATATTTCCTCATCATGGATATCATAGACATCACATATCCTTTGGACCGAGTCGCTTGCTGTTGTGCCCGGTGCCAGCAAGTTCTGACTACATTCAGCAATGTATGGATCGGGATGGGTGAAAGTTATATGACCCCCGCTGCCTGTCCTAAATACACCTCGAACACCTGTATCGCTCATGCGGGTTTCCCGACTATCATATATACAGGTCCCGTGCGACTTGGAAAGGAACGGACGTTGGTAGCGGATTGGTATAGTTCATCCTCAAGTAATATCTATACTACTACTCCTAACATGCAGTATGAAACAGCCATCTACATGATATATCATGCATCTCTTGCCAGACGGTAATTGGGTTCAAGTGTCTAATGGCGCCGGATAATCACGTTCTACGCGAGTAAGTTTTTCTGTAATCCCTACCTAGGTAGACATCACTTTCTAATTACCATAGTGGTCAATTGTTCTTCCGGCCTTCCTCAATTGTACTCATTCTTGCGAATGGCAGCGATGCGGATATAAATCCAAGCACCGGTATAATTGTTGATGCCATCATCCAAAAGGTGCTCAGTCTAGAAGAAACTCCACGCCCTAGTCTCGATACTCCAATCACACCTTCGTCCTCCGAGGGAACTACGCACGCTGGCATGAGCAAAAGAGACCTTTCGATAGTACAGGGCCAAGTTCTTGATCATCTACAGGCTCAGCTAGATGCTTCAAGAGAAGAAATCCAAAGGCTTGGCCGCTTAGGCTATCAACAAGCCAGCTCCAGCTCCACTGATAACACAACGCTGTGCGCCCAAGACAAGGTCGCAGAGCTAGCGAAGGAAATTGATGAGTTGAAAAGATTGGTGAAGTATTCTAGGGATTCCAACATGCAGGATAGCATCACCTCGCTAAAAAACGGATTCGGCGAAATGAACCTGACATCCACCCGTATCGAGCGAGAGCTTACTTCCGCGAGGCAAACAACCGCAGATCTACGCTTAGCTCTTAGCAACAGCCGCCATGGGTCAACCTCAACCACAGAGCAACCACTACAGCGCGAAATAGCCACTTCAGATACCAGACCCACGCAACAAGACCCAGGATACGTGCGTGGAGAGGTAGACGGAACTAGAGAGGTTGTAAGAGAATGTGTCTCGACGGCAAAGGCTTGTGCCGAGGAAGTATCCTTGCTACGAGCGGAACTAGAAGGCCTGAGAGAGGAACTGGCCCAAAACCGGTCGCGGCAGTCGATGCCTGAAGACGCGGGCTCCTCGGCAGAATCCACCCATGGAAATACTCACCATTGATATTACCAAGATCGGTTTAAAAGCGAGCTAGGGGAGGAAGAAAGTATGGTTCTTAGGTTGAAGCGGTGCCACTGCTGACATGTCTTCAAGCACTTTTTTAATTATTAGTATGGGACTCTTCCCGGCTTCCAAAGTCGAGCGTCATCGAGCAGAGGTTCGAGGTAAGCGATAGCAAAGGAGGAATGGTGCTTTATATGAACACCAGGGGGGAAGAAAAAGCGGTGGGCTATTATCAAGCATTATCGTACAGAATAAAGTACCCAACAGCTTAGTTTGCACTCTGCAATAATACACTCTTTATATCTCCAGTGTAAATCTGTCAGACTGATACCCTTGATGAACATCATGCATAGAGTGAATGTCAGGATAGTTGAATTGAACTATTAACGCCTGCCCTTCTATCCTCGTACTCCTGAATCTACCCCTAATAACCTAACCCACTATTTCCTCACAAAATGCAGCTAGTGTTTGGATTGGTTCTAGGACTGCCGTGGTGAAAAAACGGGTTTCCTCCGAACCAGTCGGGTTTCTAGCAAAAGCATTTACCAATGCATTTTCAGTCTCTCGACCCGGCAGGCTCTCGAGATCGTTCAGCAGGTCCTTTGCCTGACGGTATATTTGCCATTCTTTCGAATGAGCCGCCGGGCAATAATGAACAACCATGGCCAGAATCGTCTGGCACATGGTAGCTTGGTCCATCTTGCTCAGAGCCTGTGATATCCTCGCCGACAAAGGCTCAGCGTCTCCGCTCGATGCGGAAGGCGGCGCCGATGCCGTGTTGGCTAGGAGCTTCGCAACCATGAGCATGCCCTTCACCCTGGGTACGGAGAAGGGCATAGGATCTCTATATGGATCGCTGTTCAGAGCAAGGAAACATGACAGAGCTAAGGCGTATTGGAAATTTCTCTTTTCGCAGAAATAAATGCTAGCGTCGACGATCACTTGCGTTAATGGTTCGATGGCGTACAATCCGGCTTCTCGAAGCCGCGCGCACATTTTCCAGCGCCGGCGGAGCTGCTTGGGTTTCTCTAGTAAACTCACGCCTTGTAGCGATTCTGTGCATTTCGGGTATATCTTTTTGATATGTTGCTGCAGAGAACTGTCCGACTGCAAATGCTGCTTGATAGGTGGATGGCGTAGTTTGTCTAGATTGGGGACGAGACTGAACGAGTTCAGCTCGAGATGCGGGTACTGCTGGCAGACTTGGTAGACGTCTAGGTCGTCTTTGCACCGGGGACAGGCGCATTTGAAGTGATACTGCTTCTGTAGCGCTTTTTGGCGGTGCGAGCGATGGAGTGTGGATTCTGACGATGTGAGATGAGCGGTTAATGATAAGAATAGGATATTTCACTAGGTGATGCCGAGCTTACCGATATATGATATTTCGATCTCTTCACCCTCTTTTATCTCCCGATACGCATGTAGGATTGCCTTGCGTCCCATGGACTGTACGAAAGCATTCGGAATACAGGAATGGTTTATCATGGCCAGCGCAGGATTGAGGTATGTCCCGCTCTCGCCAATGTCTGCATCGAGTCGGTTGAAGGAGTTGAGTTTTAGCTAGCCATCGTTAGAGTTAGGGGTTTAGGAGCGAGAAATGCAGACGTAGTGAGAGCAGAAATAGAAAGGAATGGAGAGTTGTATGTAGCCCAAACGGTCCAGAATACCTGTCATAGACTCATAGTAAACCCCGACTTCACTCACCTTGCACACAATCTCCATAGCCTCGGCCAGATTACTTTTACTCGTCTCCCGACCCAAGTAATGCAGCGCAGCGCGAGCCTGGAGCTCTATGCCGGCCCACGCCATATCCGGGTCCCTACGCACCGTCTCGACATGGCCTTCCATCTCCGCGACCGCAGCCTGCATTTCCGGGCGCACAAGCACCTGGACCAGAGCCCGTACAGGCGTCGGCAGGTCTATGTGATTCGGATCGACCTCCTCTTGGGGCGAAGCAGGGTCAGGAGCCCGAACGCGCCGGAAGGCCTTGCACTCGCCGCGGCCGTGGGCGAGCGCCCAATCGGCCTTCTGGCATGCCGGGGTGCAGTAGTATACTGTGCGACAGCCGGTGCACGCGCGCACGCGGACCGGGGAAGTAGCTGTGGGATCTTGATCCGATGCTGTGGCTAGGCAGTAGTGGCAGGTCCGCGCTAGGTGTGGGTTGTCCGGGATAGCTATGCTAGGTGCCCCTTCGCCGTGACCAAACACGGCGATGACGGCTCCCGGGCTGAAAACCTGCGATGCAAGAATAGAACGGCCCCGGGTTGGGGACGGTGGGCTTAAGGTTATGCCGGGTGGGAGGACGACCATCTTGGATATCTTGGTAAGTAAGTAAGTAGGGAGACTGAAGACTGAAGGTTTATCTTGCTCCTTGTTTATCTCCCTCCTTGTTTATCTCCTGGTTTGCGGTGTGTTAGATGGAAAGTATGGTGGGTCTAAACCTAGATGTAGATCCTAGGTTAAATACTTGGTATTGTACAGTGCTCGTCGCACTTTTCAACCATATTCTTAGGTATGTAGTAGAACTTATAACTAAGTCAAAGGTGATTTAGAAAAACGTATAATTGATACTAATAATTTTCTATATGGACTATATGGATATTATTATCGTCAGGGAACCCGGAAAGTTTCTCTGTTAAAGGTCTGTACGTGGCAACCCGTGAGGTATCACCCAGCCATCGACTTTCCCACCGACTCCTTTACTTACATTCATTACACAGCAAGCTCGTCCGTAGAATCAAATCCGATATTATCTACTATCTCGATGAGATTTCTATATTTATATCATACTCTATAAGTTAGGGGGGATTTACCATAGCTCTATGGATAGGTAACATCGACTAATAAGTCCCGCCGCTTTCCGCCGGCAAACTACTTCATAGCATACGACACATATATATTCACCCCCGCGCGCCGACTGAGTCACAATACGAAATACGATCCTCCTCTTCCTATTTCAGCCGCAAGACTAGGCCATGAATTTCTAATCATGAAACCCTTAGAATAGGTATCTTTCGAAGATAAGGTGTGCTTATTACCCCAATAAATCTAAGCGTTAAAAAGCAGCACTCAATGTTGGTCAGAGGTGATTTGACTTACATTTTACTTAGATTAAGTTTATTTAATAGAGTAGAAACCCATTATATTTCTCAAGTTTAAACTGGGATTAGTAGTTCTCGGGCTTCACCAATATTAACTATCGGTAAACCATGCCTCTCGAACTCCAACCCGCCACCGAAGCCGACGCGCGCCGAGCAGCCGAGATCGAGTCGGTAGCGTATGGTCCGAATCCATTCAGTCAGATCCTATTCCCGGGGCCGTTCCCTCCGGAGGCAGTGGCCGGACGCGCCGCCCAGCTAGCCGCCGAGCTCAAGAAGGACCCTACCGCGCGTTGGCTCAAGGTAGTCGATACGGATTTGCCTAAAGGCGAACAGATGATTGCTTTCGCCAAGTGGCACATTTATACCGAGAAGCCGCCACAGCCAGCGCCTCGATCGTTCGGTCCAGGTTGCAACGCCGAAGCGTGCGAGCTTGTATTTGGAGACCTTGCGAAGCTGAGGTCGCGCATCTGGGGCGATAAGCATTGCGTCTGTGAGTACTTAACCCTAGGGGAAAAGAGCAGGGCCTTTTCTTCATGTGCAATGTGAAACATGGGATAAGGGGTCGTAGTTCACGAGATGATATTCTTCCGGTGCGATAACTCACTAACCACGTTACTCTAAGACCTCTCGCTCCTCCACACCGATCCTAAACATCAAGGCCGGGGCGCGGGCAGCATGTTAACTAAATGGGGTCTCGAGGAGGCGAAAAGGCTCGGCCTTGTCGTATATCTTGAGTCTTCTCCGGCGGCTCACTCGCTGTATGAGAAGCACGGGTTCCGCGATATTGAGGTCTTAACAGCCGACCTTAGTAGGTGGGGTGCGACGGAGGATCATAAGATATGGTCGATGAAGTACGATCCGTCTGAGCTTGCTGGTTGAAAAGTACCTAATTCTTGTTCATTATAGTAGTAGGTATATGTGATGAGAAAGTAGGCAATATTGATACCCTTTCAAGTTCACATGATGAAGAATTGTTTGACTTTAGGTAGGTAGTTATAGGGTCTCACAAACAAAGGTTACCTGCGTAATGAGCAAGCCTCCTGAAGGCTTCATATCTATTCAAACTACCTAATGTTGATTGTCAACTTACATACCTCAGTTGTAAATGAATGGAGATTTATCTAACCTCCATTAATGAAATATACTGTATTAGTGGGGCCCATATGTACAGCTAAAATACATCATCTTACTCAGGTTTGCCCTATATTACACGATTTCATCCCTTCAAACTCTTCTCTAAACAATCCGTATTTGAAAAAAGACCTCACGAAGCACCTATTTGCTTTTTTCTAAGCCCAAGCATAATATCATATATCTAAGACATTATAATTACCTATTCATCTCGCTCTAAGTCCTAACTATTCTCACCTTTCAGCTGAACAGCCCCACCATCCCGCGCACTGCGTCATCGTAAAGCCCAACCAGCAATGCTGTCTTCCTTCTGGAAAACATCACCAGCAGTAAACTCCAAAATGTCCCCTGGCCCCCCAACCAATGATAAAACCGACCCGCCGGCTCCCCTCGTGAGTTCGTGGCGCGCCCGTGCCGACGCCGGTGAGTCGGTAGCCGTGGTCCGCGTGCGGAGCCTACGAAGCTCTATCCCCATCGGCCGAGATGCTTGGGGCCGCTCCGGCAAGTTGCAGCCGGTGCTTCTCTCATCCGAGGTGTCGTTCGCGGACCCATTCTCCGTGAATGAGTCTTCGTCGGGGAACACTGATAAGCTTGACTCCGGCACCGTGCACTATGGCAACTTGAGCAAGACGCTACTCGGCAGTCTCGAGCTTTTGGGGTCTAAATCCGACGCTGCGGAAACAGCGGCGGCCGCGGTAGCCGCTACGGGCTGTGAAGCTGAGGTCACTACCCCGCGAACCGCTGATGTCTTGGAGTTGCTGTGGGTGCGCATGACAGGGCGCGTGGTAGATGGGAGCCGTGTAGCTCTGCCGCTGGATCAGCTACCGTTCCTGCATGCAGCGCGCCTGCGCTCGCTCACACTTACCGTAGAGCTGCCCAAGGCGTCTCTTCTCGGCGCCGGTGTCAGCCTAACGACAACGGCATGTTTTAGAGAAGATATGCCAAAAGAAGATGATAAAGAGAAGAGCGATACTAACAAGAACCCCCTGCGGTCGTACTCGCGCACTCTGCGGATCCAGGGGCTGCATATTCCCACGTTAATTGGCGTCAACCCGAACGAGCGCAAGGCCAAGCAGATGCTCATCGCGGACGTTGAAATCGACAGGTTCGACGTCGCGGAGGATATACATACTGAACTAGAGAGTATTATTGTAGAGGTGGGTCCGCAGAGTGAATCATATGTCAACTACATAAAAATGACTAAACACCGCTTACACATCCGCGATTAGACAATGGAATCATCATCGTTCGAGACGCTAGAGGCACTTGCTTCCCACATCGCCAATAAGATATTATCCGACTTCAGGATCAACGAGGACCCGAAGCCCATGAAGGAGCGAGGGTGGCGGGTCAAGGTCTGCTTGGAGAAGCCGATTGCGATACCTACGGCGGAATTCCCTGCTGTGGAAGTCACTATGGGGTCATGATTCTATTGCCTAGGGGACAAGGGATATGCTGTTTAGATGAAATGTTGGCATTTGTAGCATATGGACATACTGCTAAACAACGGGTATTTTGGATGGTAAGTTCTGTGGTATTACGTATAGCATCAGTTCTATTCTAACATTATAGGAGAGTTATACCTGTTGGAATTTCCGAACGTGGTCTTAGATTAGGATAGTATTGCCTCATTAGTAGGACTTCGACTATCCCTACCAAGAAAAGATTCGGGGCTTCGAGTACATCGAATTTGGAGTTCAAATTACTATTAGATAGGTATGTACTAAAGCAACCTACAATTGTTCTAGATTAGGGACATTTAACGAGAAGCTGCATAAAATGGTAAATCTCCCAGTCGTTTGAATCGTGCCGTCCTATGATCCGAAGCGGGTATCAACTGCTAGAGGGGCATGGATTTTCTAGAAAGTCGGTATAGAAGCTGCTATGTATGTGACGGAATATGGCATAATCCACAACTACGCGTGTGGGAATGACAGAATTCCGTTGAATTACTACCATGTGATTAATCAGATAGGGCTGCCTTAGTCTCAGATCTAGATCTCTTATACGCGGCCCCTGGCAGTAGTGAAGCTACACAATATGATGTGACGTGGCCTTATGTTACTAAGATAGCTGGTATTTCCAGTACGAGGCCCAATATCGTGAATATCATATCAAACCTGAAGCGGGAGTGCGTTAAGTAAGGCGGGATGAGACGGGGAACTACATAAGTGAAGGTCTCCAAGGACTTGGAAAGCCTCATTTATAGCTACAATGGGTACAATTCATAACCCCAGATTTTTAGAATCCTTAAGCGGCCTGAGTATCCCGGATAATGGATTCCTACTCATGCGGGTGATGCGAGATCCCTAATGCATACAAGGATACGGACCGGCATAGAGCATCTACACTAGCTAATTCTTGGGTCTTTGGGTAATCTATAGAAAGCCAAATCTGCGCCGTTTCTATCATATATCATCAATCATGAAAAGCGAGCCTACATAACAGACGAAGCCACGTCAGACCTTGCGGCAAGACGGGATGTCGCCATTCGTAATCTCATCGACAAACTTGGGGTCTGGATCGAAGAGCATGACGTGGAAGTGCTCTACGGCTTGGACGGATTTCAACGACCTCCAATTCTTGAACCAGATGTACTACGCAAACATCTTAGCGCGACTAACCAGGAAACAAGAAGATGAAGAAGGTATAGATTCCCACTTACGCGATCTTTCGGGACCCTAGATCCAAACGTCTTCTGCACGTATCCATCAATCTCGGCCCGAGCCTCGTCCGTCAGATCCGTCGTGACGGGATCCTCAGGTAATTCAAACTTGGTCCATACGACAAGATGGACGATTCGATCGTCAATTCCATACGGCCAGTCGTTCCATAGGATCTTAATGTCATCTTCAAACTCAAAGGGCTTGCCTCTCGGCTTCACAGGCGCCTCCCAGTATAGCCGCTGTGTTAGGACGAAATTCATGATGCTGCCGTAGTCTCTCTTCAACTTCCACGTGTACTCGAGGTACCGCCGCAGGTCAGAGGGGATACGTTTGAATGAGCCTAGCCGGTTCTCGGCTACTATGTTCTGCACCTCTGGCCACGTCGACACTGTGTACTCCGAGTCGGGCGTGCCGATAATGCTGATATCCTTGACGCTTAGGCTGCGGAGGAATTCCGGACACTCTTCCGTCCGTTCATTTTCGGGGACGTTAACCTGCCAATAGGGCAGACTATCGACGCTTCCCATCTCGTGCTTCAACGAGTATGTACCTAATAGAGAAGTACACCACCGTTTGATAGTAATGATTCTACTCTTGGAGAGAATAGGCGAAAGGCGAGTAGGTATAGCCGATTACGATAGCCCTGGCTAGCTGATAGATGATGGATGATAATATCGGAAAGTGGCTGGGAGGTACAACCAAAGAATTCTAATCTAGGGAAATATTGTCAATAGTCGTTATTCATGGCAAGCGCTGTGCAACGAAATCTCGGGGAGTTGGTATCGATTCAGTTTAGAATTCGAGAATCTCAGGGGCTGCTGACCGTAGACTATTGGCCAATCAGCTGTGACATGTGTTAAAGGTGGAGTTGAATGGGTCTGTCCCTGTGAACGCTAGAGGCGCTGTGCTATGCTATCACGGCAGTATTGACTTAGAAAAAAAAGAACAGCCGATTCATCAGTTTTACACAGGAAACTTTAACGTATTATTAAATTGGAAATATATATTTCTTATCATTATACTATTGGTTTTCGCAACACATTAATATTCTAAACATGAGCTAGGTAGTATTCACTAACTGGTTATGTTAAATGCTATGTAAATCGCTATTTCATTAATTTTCATACCTGTTGTTTTGCCGCATCGATACTTTAAACATCTCAACTCAAGCTTTGAGGCTTTGACACAGCAATTAAGGTTAGCTAGATGCGGCTCTTATTTTAGTCGTGAAGATGTCGATCCTGCCCAGCCTAAGGGATATACATACCTAAGAATAAAGTCAGACATTAAGGCCTGCTTGCATTGATTAATCAGTTTCCCTTATACCGTGGGCCCCACGTGGAAGCCTCCCGATTATCTATTTGCTACAAAACTGACGTGGCAGCCGTTGTTAGTCTCTCGTCATCATAACCTCATGAAAGTCATCAATATAAACTATCATCCTGGAATCGACTTCGACAACAAAACCCGCCTTTTGCCGAGACCTGATTTGATCGAGGCCTTCGGCGAACCGTTTCACCGGCTTTCGATAGCTGAAGCTGTCCTAAACCAACCGATATGAGAATTTTATTAAACGAGTATCAAGTGGATTGCTCTAGAACTTAGTACACAATTAGTTCCCGCTGGTCTGAAATGAAACCATGTATTGGGTGAGCTAATTGATCCATAGTGGAGAGGAAGTTGCATTTGTTAGGTATACCGTATTGCGAGATATAATATCGTCAATTGTCACTAGAACCTTGGGGGCTGTTTAGGTAGTCTGAGCCTATCCGTCATAAGTCCCCCTAGATCATGTAGAAATCGACTAGGTTAAGGAGGAAGAGACTTTTTGTCGGTGGCTTGAATGAGTACTCTGACAATCCCAAAGTTGCCCCGGTCCTACAGCCCAAACGCTAACCCAAAATGGTAAGGCCTACTGTCCGGATTCGCTCTAGCGCCCTTTGGGCTTAACTTTTAAAATAAAATAAAATAATTGATTTTTAATTAATTAGTAATCAATTAAGGATCGATTATAAATTAATTCGAAATTAATTAAATTGTTTTTTTTTTAAAAAAAATTTTTAAGTACGACAGATTACACAGACCAGGTCACGTGCTGATAGGTAGATAGCAGATTAGATAACCAAATACGTGAAGCTATTCGCACTTCGCACCACACATACTTAGGTATACTTATACTTATACACATGCAATCATTCGGCCCTGGCTAATTACCCCCTGTTTCGTGATTATTTCGTTGATGAATTTCTTATATTTTGACAACTGAATGAGTTGAATTGAATCGTCAGATTAGTCGAGTGTGGGACTCTTGAATTTAACCAATCAATTAGTTGTGGCCCGTATCTTACTATATTAAGTTAGCGTTTGGGCTGTAGGACCAGGGTAACTTTGGGATTGTCTGTAGACTCGGCTTGAATGCCAACCACGACGCTGAAGTAGGTGAAAATACTACCCACCCACATTGGAGTCCGGTCAGGCTAGACTTCACTGCGGATGCAAGCCCAAGCCAACCTTGAACTTTCGACCCACTCTCCATAGTTGTCAGACGAATGTCGGTAAAATATGACAGATCTCTTGGATAACCTTTTTTCAGCCTTGAAGCGCTTTAAGCCCGCACGCCCTGAAAATGTATTGATACCTTACCTATATACTTGACTAATATGGAATGGTGCTGTATGCCACGGTGGGAGACGGGCCTTCTCTCGACATTGGAAAGAGACTGCAGTATTCCGTCCAACGAAGGCATCCAAGTATGTATCGTGGCTGGGATACGGCACCAAGTTCGACGTGAACTTCGTGGTGGTGGATCTTTAGCCGTCTAGCTTAGCAGGGTCTAGCCCATGTCCATATATGCCGTAATAGGACTAGCCCGGCCCGTTTGAAGGGGTATTTTTGAAGAGGTGATCCATTTGCGAATCGAATATTCGCGGCCAAGTACTGTACTGTACAAGGGAGATATACACCGCATATCGAATTTACCTCCGCTTCATCGTGGCCATGGGGCAACCGATAATTTCCTGGAGCAACCATCAAGGGGTGAAGACGGCTAGGAGGAAACCAGTCCAAATAAAAGGGGACGAGATGCTCCCGTCGGTTACTTGACCGGTCCTCCTTTTCTCTTCGCACACTTCCACTGATCAGGCAAGACTGCAGATAGTTGGGTGCAGAACATTCGCCAGGTATGTTTATGATCTTCTCTTTTTCAATTTAATAGCTGCGACGTTATCGCATGTTTTTCTGTCTTTCCCCACTCAAGTCTAGCATGTGATTGAGCGCTTCAGCTCTGAGACACAGAACAGAGGACGCAGGTCACAGAATGACGAGGCTCGGAAAGACGCCACGTCCTTGTTATGAGAAGAAACAATTCATCGTCCGTCCTTTCAACAAGTGTATTTGGCTTTGTCATTAGTGTTGCCGGATAGGAACCGGATAAGACAAGTGATGAGGTAAAATGGAGATGAACAAGATGGTTTAACAGCTAAAGCAAGCAATCAGGGAAAGACAGAAAGTGGCTTGCTCTAATTTAGTCTGCATTACGTCAATGGTGCATTTACAACTGCAAAAGTGAGCTAACCTCCCCCCTTTTTTTAGGTATCAAAATTTACCGTAGCTATCGAAGCTCCGCCGCCAACCAAAATTTACCCCGCCATTGCCCCCCCCAAAAGTCTAGACGCAATCGTCATCCCAAAACCGTTACTAAAATCAATCTTGACCTCCTTTTCCTCCTTAAAAACGTCCTCCTCATATACACGCCCATAGCGGACTGGGAGCTTATTCACTGTTGATTCAGTACATATCCGTTGAGAAAGATACCTAAGCATAAAGTTGCTTTAATCTACACAAATTCACAATGGCTCAGGCAATTAAGAGTGCGCTACCTACCCATCTAAAGCCCGGCGGGAACGATGCGGACAGCGAGTTCGTTGGTCGACACCATGGAAAGACTCGATCGCATATGGTGAGTGCAACTTCATCTGTTTTGGAATTAATTCATAGTACACTGAGTTCGCGGATCTTTAAATCTATGAGAAGACGGGAGTTGCCCCCTGAATCTGAACCTGAACCTGAACCTCAACTTGAACCTCAACTTGAACCTGCATTGCTCCCCTTGTTTCCCATCCACCATGACGAGGAGCCCAAGAAGCCCGAGGAGTCCACGCGTGTATGCCTCAGAACTTCAGATAGCATGGCAAGATAAAGTTTTTTCTACATTGGCAACTTGGAAAGTTCGGTGCCCTAAACACCAGACCCCAAGTCATAGCCATCCTTATTTCCAGTCATTACATCGTCTCTACATCGTTTTCACTGAATTTGGGAATCTTATTTAAACACTAGAGCGTTTATTGTATTTTCACCCCTCCATCCCTTGTTACTTAATTATGTTGGAATTCTTTTTAACCATCATTTCAACCATGTCTACCTTACTAACAATTCATAAGGCCTTCGAGAATACCTCCACCAACGTCGCCGCAGCGCAAATGCGCAATGCTCTGACTGAGCTCGCCGAGACCGTCAAGGACCCGGAGCAGAAGAAGGTATGTATCTACAACGACACATTTCTTGAGACATATTAAACTAACCTATCGGATCAGCTGTTCGAGACTGAAATGGACAACTTCTTCGCTCTCTTCCGTCGATACCTGAATGACAAAGCCAAGGGCAACTCTGTGTATGTATAAGTTCCGTCGTGGTCCCTAAATTAAGAAGAAGGAAGCTAACAATAGGCTGGTTAGTGACTGGGATCGTATTAAGCCTCCTGCGCCGGGACAGGTTGTTGACTATGAAGACCTACCCAACTCGGAGTCTGTCCAATTCCTCAACAAGCTAGCTGTTCTGAAGCTGAATGGTGGCTTGGGTACCTCCATGGGTTGTGTTGGTCCCAAGTCCGTCATCGAAGTCCGCGACGGCATGTCTTTCCTCGACATGTCCGTACGACAAGTCGAGTTCTTGAACCGAACGTACAGCACCAACGTCCCCTTCATCCTGATGAACTCGTTCAACACCCACGACGACACCGCTGCCATCATCAAGAAGTACGAAGGTCACAATGTCGACATCCTTACCTTCAACCAGTCGCGATACCCAAGAATCTACAAGGACTCGCTTCTACCTGTCCCCAAAAGCTTCGACTCGTCCATCAACGAGTGGTACCCTCCCGGACACGGTGACGTATTCGAGTCTCTCTACAACTCCGGTCTCCTTGATAAGCTCATCGAGCGCGGTATCGAGATTATCTTCCTATCGAACGTCGACAACCTAGGTGCCGTCGTGGATCTACGTATCCTACAACACATGGTCGAGTCGAACGCTGAATATATTATGGAGTTAACCAACAAGACCAAGGCCGATGTCAAGGGCGGTACTATCATCGACTACGAAGGATCTGTGCGCCTGCTGGAAATTGCCCAGGTCCCGAAGGAGCACACCAACGAATTCAAGTCGATTAAGAAGTTCAAGTACTTCAACACCAACAACATCTGGATGAACACCAAGGCCATCAAGCGCGTTGTAGAGAATAACGAGCTCGAGATGGAGATCATTCCCAACGGCAAGACTATTCCTGGTGATAAGAAGGGCGAATCTGACATCTCCATCCTTCAGTTGGAAACCGCTGTCGGAGCTGCCATCCGTCACTTCAAGAATGCTCACGGTGTCAACGTACCCCGTCGCCGATTCTTGCCTGTCAAGACCTGCTCAGATCTCATGCTCGTCAAGTCGGATCTGTACACTGTTAAGCACGGTCAACTGCAAATGAGCCCCAGCCGCTTCGGTGGCGCGCCGCTCATCAAGCTCGGTAGCGACTTCAAGAAGGTCTCGGACTTCCAGAAGCGCATCCCGTCAATTCCCAAGATCATCGAACTCGACCATCTTACGATTACTGGTAACGTCAACTTACACCGTGGCGTGGAACTGAAAGGAACCGTTATCATCGTCGCAACGGAAGGCTCTACGATCGACATCCCTCCGGGATCGATCTTGGAGAACGTTGTCGTCGAGGGTAGCTTGCGTCTATTGGAGCACTAATCTGTGGAAGGACCCCTTTTATTTACGTGCTTTGGGGACTTTTCTGCTTTCTGTGTTGATAAGCGTTTCGTCCCCCTTCTGTACGTACGTTTCTACGTATTATAATGCGCGTTTCGCCTAGAGATGCGGTTGTGGTGATTTAGTTCCCCCTCACCGGTCGTGTGGGGAATTATAGGAAGTCGTATGACATATAGAGATGACAGTGTCGCAGCAGCAGTATGGCAGCAGGGACGTGGAAAATGAATGATTTATGGCATGGCTCATGGGCGTGTTATATAGACGCCGGGAACATAATGAAATAAAGGATATGCATACATGCAGTACAGTAACTAATATTTGTAGGCGATCGTGCCGTTGTGTATTTGATGTTTGGTGGTACGCCGTGACTATGTTATGCTTCCGTAATATTAAAGTCGACGAGGTAATTACTAGGGTCGAGCTGAATAACATGCTTGCTGGTATGTGGCTTTAATAACAATTTGAATTTTTAAGATGTGACTATTCCGAAGACTATGTGTACTGAAGAGTATAGTGTTTGGCTTGCCATCAATGCTCTGTTATTCATATTCCTATTCTGGCAGAATTTACTACATAGGTAGTCGCCGTGATCATACCGTGATAGTCTGCTATAGCTCTAGTCGTCCGAATATTAGGTGGTTTGTTCCAAAATTTTACCGGCTTCCATCCTATTCAAACTACTAATTAGTATTTACGGCGAAACATGTCAGACGGTAGGTACTTGACGAGGTTAGCTTATAATGAAGATGTTTTAAATTTAATAGTTGTAGAAGTTGTTGATGTTTTGAGTACGGGATGTGCCAAGTTTAGGTCCCTAGTTATTTGACAAGTTGGGAGGGGGGATGTAAACGAGTCTATTGCGTTAGACGAAACCTGTCGTATTCCATCCATCCAATCTTTGCTAGGCTTGATTTGCGTTACGTTGGGCTTAATAGTACCTACGTATATACATTGGGAGTAATATATATACATGGTCTACGCGCATAGACCGGATCACATTCTATTTCCCCTTCTTTTTCATGTTCTCGGTGCACGACGGACAGTACCAACGGCCTTCTGGTTCGGACTTGAGGCCGACGCAGGTCCAGTGGAACCACTCGTAGGGACATGCCGGATTGTCACAGGCAACCATATCGCCGTACGATACATGCTGGCACAAACAGTACTTCTTCCCTTCCTCGTCCTCCTCGTCATCTGATCCTCCCGACCCTGCCGATACCGATGCCCTATCTGGCATATCCTCGTCTCTGTCGAGGCGTGAGTGTTTACGGTGATGATGGTGATGCGGACGAGGCACCGGTGTACCGCTGCCGGCTCGAGACCCTGCACGCGATGACCGCACCGACTCTGCGTCTGATAGCTCGCTGTCTGCTGTTGACACTGGTGACCCCTTGGACATACCCGCTCGTTTAACACGCGATAACGTCGACTTCGAATTCGGAGGCTTCTTTCGACTAACTCCCGCAGATGGTGTGCCTTTCCGTCCAATACCTACGCTCCCGGCCTTTGAACTGGCTCGGGGACCAGCACTACCTGCCCTCGAGGCCCCCGGTGTCCCTGCCTTAGGCGTCCCTGGTCCGAGAGAAGAATGACGAGCTAATCCACTCGATGCTGTTGGCAGGCTGCCTAAACCGGAATTTATTCGTGGACCTCTCTTGGGAGCACCGCCTCCACTGTGTCTAGTTAGTATTGACTGTTTCTTGTTTATATGTAATACGGTGGTTGATTAAGAGTTTTGGGTGCCATATTCTAAAGAGGAAGAAGAGCTGTAGTTGGAGAGGAAAGGAGTCCTGGTAATAAATATGTTGTAAAGGGAGCAAAGAACTCTGAATGGTTACTCACGGTCCGGCAGAGGACTCGCGCTGATTGCGGCTGTTCATGATTATGCTTGCGGCGGGAGAAGTGGGCGCCGAGCTGGAGATGTGGGCTTGCGACTGGGTGGTCCGAATCTGGGGGTTGGCGGCTCTCGATCCGTTCGGGGTCGCATTGTTAGTGATAGGGTTAAGAGGCGTGTTACTAGCCGCCGAGACCCCCAGCACCCGAAGGCTGGTATTGCTATTGTTGGCAGCGCTCGGTCGTACAACGGAGGGTATCTCATCGGGGTCGGTAAAACCAGGTTCGTTTCGGTCGCTGAGCTGTTTGATCTGTAGGTCGAGATGACGAATATGCTTGTCAAAGAGCGTCTGCGCCTTTTGAGCCAGGTGAATCTTCTCTTCGGCAAGTTTATCGGCTCGGGTATAGTTCTCGCGAATGGTCTCGCGCAACATCTGCTCGCGGGGGAAAGGCGTGTGGCTACCGTTCATACGAATCCAGCGCTGGATCTTAGCGTCGCTTTCTTCGATGGTCTTAACACACTCTTGATATGTGCGGTCTTTGTCGGCTATCTCGTCCTGGATGAAGCGAATCTCTTCGGGTAGATTGGCAGTTCGATAGATGAAGTCTTCAAGGATGGCGGCAGGGTCTTGCGCCTCGGTCGAGGGCGCCATCTTCTTTACGAAGTCTATGGAGAGATCGTCTCTAGGCATCGTTGTTAACCTGGCCCTCTAAGCGGGGACACGCTCTTTGGGTAGGTGATTGTGAGAGAGTGTTCAGAGAGCAAGCAATACGCGCAAGTGTAAAGGAAACTGGAAATTGAAAACTGGTAGAGGGGAGTGGTAAGGATTATTTATTCCGAGAATGATTGCGACGTCGCCTATCATTTGTTCTTCTTTTTTTTCTTCTTCGTTCTTCTCTTCTTGTACTCGGATATCTGAGCTTCTTTCTTGCTCCCTATTTATGTTTTTGTTGCGGCGGCGTCCCGAGAAATATAGTGCAACGTAATGCAGAGAGATACGAATGGTTGAGGCAAGTTGGGATCACATGCGCATAATTGTGATATCTGTGAATTTGAGCTCTGGCTCACCTTCCTGACCAGTCCTGAGAATTATCATGTAAAAAGATCCTTCTAACAGCAGGAGTGGTGAAATATTTGAGAAGTCGCTAGGTAGGAATACCTAAGGTAAAATAGGAAGGAATTATTCGATTGCTTCATTAGTTGGATACAAGAATTGCTTGCACCGGTACACCGGCAGCGGCAGTGGCAGTGGCAGCGCAAACGCGAGAGACGGTAGGTCGCTAAGTTCCAGAGTGGGGAGTAAGTTGGTACAATCGATAAAATTTAAGTCTAAAAAGTGAACGTTGACAAACACGGTACAGACAACAGATGTTAAACCAATTTATCCTATTACGTAATGACTAAAATGTACAAGGTAACTATTTGATGTAATCCATAACAAGATGTACATATTATTGGATGCATGGATTTAGCAAGTCGTAACGGTGCGAAACGGTGTGATTTACATCAGCCAGCCAGCCTTGAAGAATAAGGTTATTGTGTTAGGTGATCCCTTGTTCTCTAAACAAATCGGGAATCGTTAAAGAAAGTCACTTCAATCCAGGTACCGATCCAATCTATTACAGATTTAGCTTAGCGTCGCTCATTTTGCATGTTAGTTGGTTCGTGCATTATAGTGGGGGCAAATCGGCAGCTACCGCATCCTTGGTGGCAGTCATCAAAGTCGCCTTCATCCATCTTCATCTTGACAATTGAAGATTGAAGATAACTTCTTCATTAAAAAACAAACCCAAACTCACCAAGACTCAGATATTATATTATAGGTTAAGCCATCCCATTACCACCCTTCTACGATTCCTAAACATTCTATAACGCATTATATGAAGCTCGCCGCCGATAACTTTTAGTGCCATCCTAATTCATCTTAACTACCTGATTCACCTTTACCAGTTTGGGTCTCATTTTCGGAGTCAAGCAACATACAACCGTCACAAAATTCCAGGCGCAGTGATACCAAAAGTCCTACAAGCGCTAGTTGAGGGAGCAAAAAATTCAATCATCTCTACCCTTTACTTCGCATAATAAGATATTCTTGTTCATCGGCCGCATCTCATCCGTCAGCCTTAGAGATGGAGGTTGACCCGGCGAATCATTATTCGTTACGGTTACCGAAACCCAACTACCTCCCTCACAAGGTCGATTTTGACGCGCCGGTGGTAAAGAAATTTAATAAACCTTTAGATCGGCCAAGCGACCTTGAAAATGCAGCTTATCTTAACAAGATTAAACGCTTCGCTCATGAATATGGCATCACAAAGCCGAAAGGCTACACAGTGTCCTTCCATTATAACCCCGAAATGGAGAGGCATCACTTCGGCCAAACACATCCAATGAAGCCTTGGCGACTAACTCTCACCAAGAGCTTGGTCTCATCCTATGGTATGAATTTCGCCATGGAGAATTATACCGCCCGCGCGGCCACATACGAGGAGCTTACGGCATTCCACACAAACGATTACGTCGAGTTCCTTGCCTCAGTTGCTCCCCAGCCGCTACCGTTAGACGTTGACAATGCTAGTCCGGATCTCAAGTTTAATTTGGGAGGTAGTGATTGCCCACTTTTCGAGGGATTATACGACTATTGTTCCATGTCTGCCGGTGGTTCCCTGGATGCCGCGAGAAAGCTGTGCACGGGGCAGTCCGACATTGCCATCTCCTGGGGCGGAGGTCTGCACCACGCCAAGAAATCGGAAGCGTCAGGATTCTGTTATATCAACGATATTGTCCTTGGTATACTGCAATTATTGCGCATCCACCCCCGAGTTCTCTATATCGACATCGACGTGCATCATGGTGACGGCGTAGAAGAGGCCTTCTTCTCTACGGATCGCGTCATGACGGTCTCTTTCCACAAGTACGACCCTCAAGTTTTCTTTCCTGGCACTGGCGCTTTAGAAGACAATGGCCCGAGGAGCGAGCACAACCCAGGGGCGCACCACGCTATTAACGTACCCTTGAATGACGGCATTACGGATGAGCAGTACGAGTGGCTTTTCAAGAGTATCATTTCTAGATGCATAGAAAAATTCAGGCCAGGTGCAATTGCTCTACAATGCGGCGCGGACTCTCTGGCCGGAGACAGATTAGGTAAATTCAATCTGCTTGTTCAAGGTCATGCGTCGTGTGTCGAGTACTGCAAAAGTCTAAACATTCCTCTGCTTATGTTCGGAGGAGGGGGTTATACACCCCGAAACGTCGCTCGTGCTTGGGCATATGAGACGGCTGTCGCCATCGGTCACAATAAGACTATCCCGACAGAATTGCCCCTTCACACCCCTTGGCGCGAGCGCTTTAGGCACGATACACTCCTTCCCACCCTAGAACAGATATTAGGCGAGCCTCGCCAGAATAAGAACCCTAAAAAGAAATTAGACGATATCATAGAACACGTCACCGAGCAGCTGCGGTTCGTCGAAACTGCACCCAGCGTGCAGTTTTCTACCATTCCGCCCGATCTCAGTCCGATCAGGGATGAGGTAGAACAGCGAATCAAGGAAGAAGTTGAGGAGAAGGATGAAATTGGGCGAAAACTTCGGGAAGAAGGCATGGGAGATCGTATGGAATTATAATCGCTTCTTCCTAACATCTAGTTCACGGCATAACCTAGATATTTCGAAAGATGTCATGAACATTGGTCGTAATAGCATTATACTAGCTGACTGTCTAATCGTATGTGCCTTCATCTCCAAGACCCTAACTTCCTAGCGATCTTGTCTCCCATCTTGTTTCACTTGTACATAATAGGCAGTGCCCAGTTCAATATACACAATGGCTGAACAAAAAGATTAGGCGTTTACAAGACTCGACCTTACAAACTCACTCATGTCTCCTAGTGCGAGAAACTCGGTTTTATTCCATCACGCCTTGGATATCTTAAATCCGCCAGGTACCCGCTCTTGGAAAACCCTGTTGGGATCGTACTTCGCCGCCGCGGCCTTTATTATCTTGACGTTCTCCGCGCCGTACGTTGCGAAGGGTTCTTGGTCGTCCGTGCAGTAGTTCAGGTAGAGCCAGTCGGCGTCCTTGTTGATCGACTTAGCGAAGGACTTTACAGCTGCAAGCAGCGCTTTCACTGCGGGCCGGCCGACTTGTTCGCGCAGCTCGAGGGATTGGACTTCTATTCCGATAAGGATGTTGATGCAGTCGCCTGGCAGGTTCTCGATTCCAAGCACGTTTCCGCCCTTGGCGGCGGAGATATCGGCCCACGACTTGAGGACCGGCTGCGTGACCATCTGGGCTTTGAAGTTGTCGTCGGGGATCGCCTTGCGGAACTTTTCTATTAGAGCTTCGTATTCCGTGGCTGCTTTGCGCATTATGCTGGCGTCGACTTGCACGGTGATGGCCTCCCAGTTGGTGCTGGAGATGCTGGTTAGCAGAGGGATGAATAGTGGTGGAATTTAAGAATGGTTGGCTTACTAGTTCGCCGAGGGGACTACGTAGTCCGCCAGCTTCTCATACAGCGTCTTAACTTGGAAGTCCTCGGGTTTCGAGATGAGGTTCGGGATAGTTAGGAATTTCTGGAGGGGCTTCGCGTTCGCGACGCCGTTGACGTTGGACACGTTTATGCTTATCGTGTAGTCTTTCACCAGGGGCGCGTGGTAGGAATATAGGAAGGCGTAGTCATCCGGGTTGGCAGCTAGGTTGTTTACGAAGTCGACGTAAGCGTCGACGACTTGGTCGCTGGCGGTTTTGGGGTATACGGCCATGCCACACCATATCTTCTTTGCCTCCATGGACTCCATATCGAATCGTGTCACTATACCGAAGTTGAAGGAGCCGCCCTTTAGCGCGAGGTATAGGTCCGGGTTCGTTGTTTTATTCGCCTGGACTATGCTACCGTCGGCTAGTACAACCTCATAGTTGACGATTGTGTCTAGTTATTGACACCCGCGTCAGTGCTCATACAAACCCCTATATCTGGCTTCCGCACCGATGCGAATTATTGAGGGATTACTTACCACAACTCCATCCCTTGCTAGCGATGAAGAATGATATACCGCCACCGATTAAAAATCCACCGACACCTACCTCGGCCTCGCGACCTCCGACAACCAGCAGTCCCTCTGTTATACTGTCAGATCGTGCTTATGCGCTCGGAGTTTGTTCAAGCACCACTTACGCGAAACCAAGTCTCTGTAGACATCCTTCCACCTACTACCAGGCTCAAGCGATACAAGTTTTGTTTCGGGGTTGTAAGTTCGCTTCGTCAGGAGAGTGAGGTCGATAGTCACGCCCTCTTTGATGTTGTTACTGTTATCTACCCACATGTGGCCTCCGCTGTCCAGACGATCTTCTATTAGCGTCTTCTTTCGATAGTACACAGGTAGCAAGACGATGATATTCATAGTCGCCTACTCGATACTCACCTTCGGACGGCGAATTTAAGACCCTCGGTGCTAACTAGAGCCTTCAACGCCTTAGAGACCTCTTCTGTGTTCCGGGGTTGTACAATAGCCCAGGGCCCTAATCGCTGCGAGAACGGCGCCAAGGATCCCTCTTTCGCCTGATAGGCCTGCTCGCCAGGGACGTGTAAGACATCGCCCAGGCCGGCATCCTTCAACTTAGCAATGGCTGACTGCGCGATAGAAGTCATGGTGATATCTTTAGAGGGGTATAAAGGGTTACATGTGAAGATGCAGGTCCACGCATAATGAAGTGCGAACACGACGTCTATATATGCAGGGTTTTCTACTACCACCATACAATATCTACGAGCCGATTCACCCACCAATACCCCGAGTCAACAGGATCCCGCCGCAGAGCGCCTTCATCATATGAGTGGATTATCTATGTTTCTGAAGTAGTGAGATCCCACGCATTGCTTTGAAGAGCAGATCCGACAAGACGGAGCCAATAGCGTAAGAGTATTCCTTCGTATGGGAGTTAGCCTCATGTAGGAACGGAGTGGTTCCCCGTCGCAACACAAAACCCGCTTACTCGGATTGAATCCATTCTAAGATTTTCCCTTTATAGAGCGGTTGGATAGAACGTTAATCATGCGATTTAACATACAAGTACCTCCAAGTGTAGATCTTGGAGCCTGGATCGTGGTAATTCAGATCTGTTGACGATAGTCCCCTTACGTGTCACATATATAGGTAACTATACAGTATAATACCATCACACTAGTATAGCAAAAGGTCTTTTCCCATTTTCGTCCATAGTCCTACTACGACGTTACATCCAAGTTAGGAACAGTCATACATATCTTATTCTAACTCGAATAGTCCTATCCAGGAACCCGTTTGAGTTGAGGCTAAGGCGTCTTCTTTATGCAAGTGCTTGACGCGTGTCAGATAGATACCGAAGTCCGACAATAGGCGCTTATGTTGCAGATCTATAGGATTATGCTAGTAGTATAATTCACAAAAAAAAAATTTATCGGGCTTGTCATTTTCGAATCTAGTATTATAAGCTAGTCTCTCCGTGGGTTAAATCACGCATTTGAATCCGGACACATGTTTTAACCATATGAAGCAATATACGGTCTAATTATGAGGTGGCATGTGCCAATTTATGACTAAAGTATAACAAGTATTTTAACGTCAACCAATGGTAGTCTGAGTGAGTGTCCTCGTTTAAAAACTATCATTGCCAAGACAGTAAATACGATAATCTCCTCGTGGATATATATATCATTATATCAGGAATCGCTTTAACATAGGCAAGTTCCCGATGATTCACAAATTAACGCTGGCTTCGCGTGCCGCGCGGCTCGGAAGATGCGCTCTGGTCGAAGACGCGGATCGTGATCGGGGCAGTGTCCGAACCAACAGGAAAACAGTACAACTTTGGAGAACACCAAATATTGTATATTAATTAGTACGAACTATTTGGCAACACTGTTCCCAATACAAGACATTCATTCCATGACTAGACGTGTTTCTGTCGACTCCTTGATATAAGCACCAAGCTGTAAATCGCGATACCAGTATATTCATCCTGTTAGTTCCCGATGCTACTTAGAACCTACGAATAAAGATGCCTTCACGGGATTGGAAAAACGCCCGGTCGACTCACTCCAAACGCCACAATTTATTTATGGCGACTATCCGTGGATTCGTACTCTTGGGGGCCCCGACGTTGAACTGAGTTTTGTGACGGCTAGCGAGGGGAATCCCTAGCGTCGCCTTGTGCTTGTCTAGCATGCCGCCGCCCATGCATGATGAGGTTGCGACGGTGAGATTGGCGCCATTTTCGAGGTTCTAAATATCCGGGATATTGAGCTATTGACTAGCTAGGATTGGATTTGGGAAAACTCACATTCCTGATAGCATCGGCTAACCAGTCGTCTGTCAGGATCGCTTTGGAAGTCCCATCGTTGTTTTCAGCTAGAATCCACCCCTCATCATTACCATCCTGTTCACCAGATCCATTTACATCGGGGTATGTCGTGCCATTGTCTTGGAGTAAGAACCGCTTTACAAGAAATTCATGTAGACATTAAGCTGAAAGTAGTAGCTATGGCTACAGATTATTGTCATTGCCGCGTACCAGGCCCGCGCTGATAGGCTACGAAGGAAGCATAGGATTAAGAACCAGTAGTAGTAATGTTCGTACCTAGTTGATGATCGAGGCCTACAACACTGTAGGAAAGAGAGCATATCGCCCTAGGGCGTGTAGCCACTATTCTCGTACTCTTTCGTAAGTGGCTTCATACAGACATTACAACCTATCGCCACGTGTAAGTGTAGGTACCTAAGGTAATCAATCCATCGCGAAAAAGACAAGCAATATGATGACACCTCATCCGACTATGCTTCCTGCATCCGCTGGAAACTCTGGAGGGATAGTCTTAAGGTCTAGGGGAGAATACTAAAGGGAGACTGGCGTTTAGGATTTAGAGTGAGTGAGTGCTAAGGTTGTGTTGGGTGCTTGATATCGCGTGTAAACGAGACTCCTGTAGTTGATGTTTAGTACCTAAAGTACCTAGAAGGTACCTAGGTACCTACATGTAACTGTAAACCTGAACAACTAAAAATAAATTCTACATAACCTTTCAGCAAAGATAAGAAAAAGTCAAAAATGATGTGGCGGTACTGGGAATCGAACCCAGATCTACACGGAACACTTGTAGAAACATCCACAACGTGTTGTACTGGCCATTATACTATACCACCTTTCATTGGCTAGTTGCCGATGAGTTTTTTTGATGTTATTTTTCATTATGTACTTGACGCTTGTGTTACCACTTGCGTAAGAAGAATAGAGAGGTAGAAGAAGCTAAGGGAAAATAGCGAGAAAAAATAACAGGATGAGAAATGCACCTAAATTGGTGTGTGGGATCTGATAAGGCTGAAAATGTAGTCACACTGTATGACGGATGGTACCTAGTTCCTCATTAGACGAATATTCATATTAGCGGATACTTATTTATCTAAGAGCTCGAATTCTCTTAGACCCCAGCTTAAATCTGATACACACGCGTGTCGCGGCACGCCGAGTCAATTGGCGATACATTTACTGTGTACATGTAAGTTATAGGAAATATCGAGTTAATTCTCCAGTTTCTTGACTTTTAAGGTCCATCATATATAGGTAAGCAACTATAAAACTTAAACTGTCGCCTATGTATTCAGCCACAGATAAAACCACTGCATCTAAACTTTCAAGTACCACGACGACTTCAATATTTTGGCGTCATGGCGACTTCTCATGACGATGTCCGTACTGCCGGTTTTAAGGTGGAGATACTTAACGCCATCGAAGCCCTTCCGTCGAACAATGGCGACTCATCTGATAACCCTAATGAGCTTGAAAGCGCGATTCGGAAATGGACGTCCAATCGACTAACCACCCCTTTATTCTATGTACTTCAAGACTCATCGAGCACGGATATCTCCATTAATAGCTTGACACCCTCCGACTTGACCCGTTTCTGCTGCTTGCAAAGCCTCGAATCTCAATATCACTTCCATGTCTTCATCGCCCAGATAGAGAAGAGGGAGATAGGCACCGAAACCGATACTATGGATTGTGGGCTTGAAGAAAGTGAAGAGGAGGCTCTCCAAAATGGAGCCCAAGCTATTGAGGTTATAGAATGGTCGGTAAAATTGGCCTTTGATGTCTATGGCAATCGAAAACCGCATAGTTTAGACATAAAATCCGATTTAATTCTCCAAGGTGATGTTTTTATTGACTGTGAGCCCGACGAGGAAGGCGATCTCCCCAAAGGCTATGATGAACCCGTCCACCCTGGTGTTAGTTCTGACCCTTCCTAGTCTTATGTTTTCATATAGCTGACTATAGCAGTTACGTGGATTCTGTCAATATTATCGATCATTGGTTAGTTCCATCTAGTAATGGCGTGATACAAGAGATTTTAGCTAACCTATTTGCAAGGCTCTACTTATAGTCCCTCAAGCTACGATGTCAACTTATATTCTGAGCAACTTCTTAAAGGCTGGCGATATGAACCCCGTAGCTGATCTCCTAGAATACTTCTCATCGAGATGCAACGTTCTAGCAAGTGACGGCATGTATTTTGAGACATTAGCTGATCTATGCGGGTATTTCTTTTCCCAGCGAAAAGCGAAGACGTACTTTAAGATGGAACTCCCCGAACCTACTATCGCCAAAGTCCTCCAAGTAGCACTTCTCTTCCAGGATCGCAGCCTTTTTGAGCTGGTTTGTAATAATATCGAAGTCAACCTTTCGCCTCAATTTTTCTCGTGGATCGCAGTGAAGCTTCAAGGGTCGGGGCTGTCACTCACTACACTGAGGCCAGCGTTAGTTCTTCCGTCCCCGTCATCTGGGCCATTACTAACAGCTATAGTTTCGACCGTTCTGTTTTAGAACAGCAAACCCTTGGGGATCAGTATAGGCATATTTTGACCTTAAATACCACCTATGATAAGACACCAAAAGAGCTACGGGAACTTGTTCTAAATATGTTAGACAAGATGGTCCAACTTTGCTATACTTCTACACTCTATGAACAGGATGGAGAAACCCTCGTTCTTATTGCCTGTAATCACCGGGATTATGACTGGCTGTTGAATAAGTAGGCTTTATTCCATAAATAACCACTCGTATATATCTAACATGAAGTAGGCTGGGCCCTCTAGTTTCTAATAGGCGCGATAACATCGCCTTCGTACTGGGTTTTAGTTGGCAACTATATGCTAGTGCTCGCCAGGGTAGGTTGGAAGTCTCCGACTCTTTTGGGTTTCTGAAAGATACTATCAAGTCTCTAATTGCGCGACTCGACGTCGTTCGCCTTATTAGCGAACAAGGATTCCAACGTTGGCAGCAACAAAGAGCATCTCGGAGAGGAGATCACACGCGGCCCAATCGGGATACAATCGCACCGCCTCCTCCACCGGTCACTAGTGACACATTACTCAATATGTGTAGGCTTCTATTTGACCTCGGCATGGAAAGCGACTTGCGCGACCTGGCAATGAGGTTGGTGGAGCAAAGCGAAAGAATTGACTTGCTCGAACTCGCAGACCTTTACGTACCTTTCGCCGGCGGTTTCATGGATCTTCTAGAAAGTCGACCAATCTCGGTTGAAGATCCTGCATTCTCGACGCTAATACGAACTATCATCCAGTCGTTCTGGACTCGATATATTGTCATGGAAGAGCCAATCCCTACTCAGGTTGAACAAAGACAAACGTCTAACCAGAGACTAATTAAGTCCAGCTGGGCTAAACGGGTGGAAAATGCCAGACGGCAACTCGCAACTCTCAACCAGAGGAGTCTGCTGCTGGTGTTAGGGAGGGATTATTATAACATTACCGGGAACGAACCACCTTACTCCGAGTACCCACAACCGGACTTGATAATGATTGAACCATATGCTGTCCCACAACCCTATGCTGCGGACTCCTCTCGCCAACCACGAAGTTACCAGATAGATCACCCAGCCAGGGTGGACTGTAGCCAAACGAATGGATCCCTGATGTTTGCTGGACTAAAGCGCAAACAACTCGGGGATGACGAATTTGCTGACGAGCGACTAGCGAAGAGATGAAGTTGGTAACTTGCATTTAAAATGGAGTTACTTGGTTTTTGGTTTGAATATTAATATTGAATATTACTAGGTTGGGTTATGTATTTGGATATCATGTGTGACGAGAGTTACGGAAAAGGGGCTTGTGAGCCGGAATAGTTACACGGTTACATACGATACACGGTGCCTATCGTATTAATGAGGTCTCCACTTTAAGCACGGTCTGTGTAAAACAATGTAAAACACGACAAAGTCGCGTTTTTAGCGTTGTAGAATTAATATTTTAACGCGTCTTAATGATGAAGCTTCGGGATCGTCGACGTCGACGTCTCGTATTACGGAAAGTCTCTTGGTGGTACCCGATATCCTGAAATGCCTGGCTCATACAAAATGGAGTCAAATGTAGAAGGCCATACCGGTCTTCCGGACAAGCCATTCAAGGAGTCAGACTTGTTGAGGGCGCTCGAATCAATTCATAAAAAGGCCAGTTTCGCATCCATGACTCGAATCAATACTTTCCATCCAGATATCTTCGTACAGGGTGTTGGCATGATTGATAATCCTCTTTCAGAGACTCAGGCGAAACAGATTGCTGCCAAGTCGCATCAAGCCCCCCATGAAAAAAGTAACGAGACAATTGTTGACACGCCGGTTCCAAACATATGGGAACTCAATCCGGACCAATTCGAGATAAGAGCGCCGGTATGGCAAGCCTACTTGAACAAGACTCTAGTTTACGTCGCTAAGAAGTTGGTCATTACTTCCCCTATTTCTGCGGAGTTGCACAAGATGCTTTTATATGAACAGGGTGCTATGTCCAAGACCCCTCCAGAGTAAGCACCACCCCTTAAGAATTGTCCGGCCATAAGAACTCACCGGCATGTAGTACTGAGGAGATTCCTGGGATGTTTGGGACGCTTGTCATCAATCTTCCTTCACATCACGAAGGCGGGGACGTGGTTGTAAAGTACCGCGGCGCTTCAAAGATATTACCTACCTCACAGCATGATATGGCTTGCGCTTTTTGGTATGTTGTACATTACTATATCACTGGAACATAGCCTTAATGACTTTCTCGCTAAGGTTTTCTGACGCCTCTTATGAGGTCTTACCCGTCAAGAGCGGGTACAACTGGGTTCTGGTTTATAAGCTTGCGGTAGACCCAACGGCTGCAGTGCCAACAGCAGCCAGTCGTCTCGAGGACAAGGCGCTTCGTACGGTCCTCGAGTCGTGGTCACGAGAAGTCAGTAATGGCTCGAGGAAACCTTTGCCTCTTTGCTATGCGTTTGATGATAATTATACCGATGAAGGCGGAAGAGTATCGTACCAAGGGCTCAAAGACGCAGACCGTGAACGAGTTAGATGTCTTCGGACTATGTGCACCGATTTGGACTTCGATGTCTTTTTGGCCACTTTAGAAAAACAAGAGACTCGTATTATCGAGGACAAACGTTGTCCGGATTGGGACATGGGTTGTCATTGCGACCATGACGACGAGGAAGAAGAGGGACAGGATGATGTTGACTATGATACAGCCGATGGGTTCTGTGACGTGTCCTATAAGCTGACGGAGGTAGTTGATGTCGAAGGAACCATGCTAGCCTCGAATTTGCGGCTTGATGAAGAGTGCATTCTGCAGGAGAGTTCCTTTACTGGCATGCCTTGGGACGAAGAGTACGAAGGATACGTGGGTTTAGCTGTATGCCTCGTCAAATCTCACTGGCTGGCAATGTAACTAACTGAGTGGCAGGGACCTCAACAAACATCTCGGTATCTTACATCAGTAAGTCAACATCGTACCGAAACAGCGTACCAAAGCCTAATCAATTATTAATTACATTCTTAGGCATTGGTTATTGTTCCCTGCGAAGGGACAGTCCCATTTATTATTTCACATGAGTTTGAGTTGACGAACCTCCTAAGAATTATGTTTTTCCGAGACTTTTGTGGTTTTTTAATTGACCAGTGCACAAACTCGTCAAGCAAAGCTGCGAGATTAAACCAGCTATACGAACTTTTCAATACGAACGTCAAACCATCCTATTTCAAAGAGAAAATTAGCCCAGATCATTTTTTAAAGGCCCTTCAACTATCTATTCAGAACGAGAACCACGGCTTGCTTAGATTAATCATGACGGAATACAAACAGCCTCCCCCGATTGAATTCTTTGCTTGGTTAGGGCAAGAATATGATAAATCAGCCGTCTCTAGCGACAACTTTGAGAAAATGTGAGGTTACACATAAAGCTATTAGTTGATAGAAAAACTGATTGCATACAGGTTTCTATACGCCTTCAACCTTCAACCTACAATTCACAGACGATGGACGGCTTTATGCGATGTCAATGTAGATCTGGAGGAGATTGAGAAATTGCGAAACCTTGCCTCTCGAACAGTTAACGAGTGCTTGGAAGCTTGCCGACGAACACAGCTCCAAGAGGAAGATGGCAAAGCCCTTTTTAGCCTCTCCTTTTATTGTTTGGGGTTTGAATACTTGAAGACGGTGTAAGTACCATTGCTGACACCTTTCAGGACTGATGCTGATCCAATTAGTGTGGTACCTGTGCTGGAAGATTGTAGTAGTTTGACAGCCTTTATTATTGGCTTCCTCCAATCGTTCGACTTGAGATACTCTCAGATTCCCAAGGATGACATACGAGCTGTTTATGAGCGTATAGCACTAGCAGCAATTAACAAGCTCGAGTTAAATTCCCTCACTGCTGCGGAAATTCCCTCCGACATAAGAGTAAATGGCTCTAGAAGCACTTCTGGCCCTCAGTACGTGACCTACAAGTCATCGCTAAGGTTCATTTCTACCCTTATCGAACTCAAGCTTCAAAAACACCTTACCTTGCTCGCCCAGAAGATAGTCGCCCAAGCGAGTAGAGTCAAGGGGGAAGAATTAGACACATTTTGGATACCGCTTCTCCATGGGCTGTTTATAGTCTTTGAGAAACGCAGGGTTCTTCTCTCGGTTCCATACTGGATGCAAATCTACCAGAGTTTCTTCAAAGCCTACGTGATGAACTATGTCCTGGAACAGCCGGCGCCCCCCTGCTCTTGTCATGACTGTACATGGAGTTTGACGGCGCAGTTCAACGCAGCCATGGATCTCTGGTGGACGCGACGGCTCCATGCGGAATTTCTACTCGAGACGTTTGATCAGGAGATGCTACGAACCGTACTGGGAGATCAGTACGACGACATCATGAGCATGAAAATGCTCAAACGTCAACAATCACAACCTGTCGTATGCAGTACCAAACAAGCCTATCTACAGCAAATCCAATTAATGCATGCCACCTCGCGTGCCCGAAACACAAACTCGTCCTTAACAATGTCGAATCTATATAATATGCCGCCGAGGCCGCCAGTAACATTATCCACCGCTGTTGCCGCAGGGCCAGCCAGGCCCGCGCCGCGGCCGACGCCGAAACGATCCATGCTCGAGGTTAGCCGGAGCATCAGTGAAAGCGCACGCAAGCGAGCAGCACAGAATATATCGTCACCATCAACACGGCGCAACCATGGCGCTTCAAGTCCAGTGGGTGGCGGTAGCAGTAGCACACCGTCGAGACCTACACAGACGATTCCCAACCCCATCGCTGGAGCAAAGCGCAAGTACATTGATGTTATTGATCTCACGGGCGATGACTGAACAAGGCGGTAGTATGATAAGGTATGGATAATGTACATCAGGGAGATCCTAGGAGTTTGACTAGAACTGTAATTTAGCTAGCAATAGCGTGTATTATAATCGTGACAAAACCAGGAACTCTGGAGAGTCCCTTCATAGAATAATGTCTACAGGACAGTTGGTTTATTCATTCTACGGGTGTTCTTTAATGGACGGTGAGCTATCTTATGCGTCCAATGTATACAAATGCTATGTATGTCTACCTAGGTAATTTATGTCATGAATTCATTGCCAGTCTATCAAGCAGTCCTGCTGTCACTCTTTCCCGAAGGCTTATAACCTGATCTATTTAGTCACCAATCAATTCGCAGGCTTAGAGGTGGCCAGGATCTTCTCGTTCGCCTCGTCGGCCCTCTCGCAGCACTCTTCAATGACCTTCCAGAAAAGCGGGATGTCTAGGCCGCGCGGTATCCGGACGCCCTCACTGCCAGGGGGCAATAACGTGACAATGGTGCGGCCAGTCTGCGCGCCACGCTCTCTAGCATCCTCAAGCGTACCCTCGGTCACGACATCGACCGCGAAGCGCTCCCGTCGGCTTGGTCCCTCAGGACTCTTGGGATCGTAGTCGTAGAACGGGATCTCGTACTCGGTGCCTTCTAGCACGGCCGCTACCGCCAGCGGGTCGTGTAGAGGCGGGCCTTCTATGATGCCGAATACATCGCTGGAGAGCGGACATATCATAGTTAGTACATACATCATACCAGGGATAAAAAAAAGAAAGAAAGAAAGAAGACGTAGAAGAGCCCACTCACCGGTAAGTAGTAGCAAAGAAATTCAACAACTCTATCAACATAACCCTCAAATCCGACTTCCCCCTCCTCCCCTCCCGCACACCCCGCTCTCCTTCCCCATCCTTACGATCCGGTCCATACAGCAACATCTCCTGCACCTCCTTCGTCGCCAGCACAAGGTGCGTCAGATCCAGCGGGACAAGCGTGATCTTCGTCGCCAACACAGGGTCCTTAAACAACGCCGCCGCAGCCTCAGGGTCAATCAACACATTGAACTCCGCCCACTGCGTGTAATTCCCCACGCGCGGACACCCATCCACAACGCCCATCACCGCCGACGTAAACCCGTCCCCCACACTTCCCCCCATAATCGTCAGCCCCTTCACCCGCGCGACTAGATCGGGGTACGCGGCAAACAGCTGCGCGACATTCGTCAGCGCGCCCGTCGCCGCGATCCACGCCGTCCCGGGGGCACACTCCCGCAGGGCGGTAGCCATGGCTTCGACGGCGGAGACGGGGCCTTCGTCCCGCTGCTGGACGGACATCGGAGGGGGCGGCGGCAGGAGGTCCGTGCCGTCGAGCCCGGTCTCGCCGTGGATGTCGACGGCGTGGACGGGGGGCCGCTGGAGGGGCTGCGCGGCCCCGGGGTATACCGCGATGTCGGCGTGCTTGCCGATGGCGGCTAGGACCGAGCGCGCGTTGTCGGTGGTTTTGTCCAGGGGCGCGTTGCCGTGGACCGTGCTGAGGCCTAGGAGCCGGATGCCGGGGTGGTAGGCTGCTAGGAGGATGGCGAAGGCGTCCTGAGGTGGTGTGGGTGCGGTTAGATTATGTACCTGGTTAACGTACTATGTGTACTGGTCTATATGTATATACATAATAAAGTAAAGTATGATAAAGCACCGGCATTACAGCGTCGGGCGCAAGCCTCGCGCGGACCCGACGCCCATCTGACGCAGGCCTACTCCAACGCCGAACCGGCAGTAGCCAGGGATGCAGCGGGGCGGCGGCCCCGGGGAACGAAGTCTCACTTGAGAAAATAAGTCCCGGCGATTGATTGGTTGGATAAAGGCGAAAAGGGCGGATGAAATAGAAACTCACGTCGTGGCCCGGATCGCAGTCCAGCCAAAGTGGGACAGGCTCCGGCATATTCAGTAGGTACCTAACTATTGTAATTTGGTAAAATATGTACTTGTCGGAAGATATAGGATATAGGTACAGGTACAGGTATGTAGGCAGGTTAAACGATACTATTAAAGATGCTAACTTATAGGTATTTTGGCCGGTTGATAAAGATCTGGTTTTATGTTAGTTGGTGCTAAAGATGAATGTCGGTCACGGAAAAGTGGAAAAGGGACGGAAATACGCATTTTTGGTCTGTGGGACTCGAGTTGGATAGGTGATAGATACGCGGCCGTGGGAATTGTTGTTCACACCATAACCGTAACTCTCTTATCATATTATAGGTAGTATATTAGGTAGGAATGAGAATGACTATACATAGCTTTATCACAATATTAATTTAGTACTGATTATTACTATTCGTAGCTTTAATGAGCCAAGTGTCAAACTACTATAGCACAAACTACTATAGCATCATCCTTTACTAATCATCCAGCGGCTCGCCGTTTCTCGATGACTCGTAAGACATCCGCTGCATTATTAGCATCCCCCTTTCGCTTCTTAGGCCCTCTCTTACGTTTAGGACCGCCTCCACCATGACCCTCATCGTCGCCCTCGCGTCCCCATTCCGAGAATTTGACCTTCTGCTCTTCAAAGTCTTCTTCGTCCTCAAACCTACTAGTACCAAAGCCTAGATCCATATCTTCTGCATCGCGATCGTTATTCTGCAGCATCTTCTTTAGACGTTCCGCCTTAGCACGTGCTTCCTTGTCATCCTCTTCTGTTGGCCTGGATATAGGATTTAGAGACGCTGCCTTCTTGAGGGCTGCTTGTATTGCCGGATCGGACATAGACGGTGCCTTAAGCGACTCAGATGACACCAATTTAGTCTTAGAATCCTTAAAGTAGTTCCGTGACTCTGTTGTAGTAGCTGGCCGTGGTGGAGGAGGCATGGCAACGTTATCTTCCTTGCTTGTGTCGGATGGTTGTGGCTTCTTCGCGGCGGACTCTTCGTCTTCGGAGTCTTCCTCTTCTAGCCCAGCAAGAGGATCGTAGTCGTCACCAACATCATCAAAGATATTGATATCTTCATCATCTGGTTCTTCGGCCTGTTTCCTGTACTGCTCTGGAACTTCCATGCCGAGAGGTTTGGCATTCTTATCAGGCATCATCATATCTGTATCTTTAGATGACGTTTCAGCTGTTGGCTGAATCTTACGAACTTTTCGCTTCTCGTGGCCATCTTCGTCCACCACTATCAACACTTCTCTGCCTTTTCTGTCTCGTTCTATTCTCATTCCGGGAGTCTTCGCGCCAATCTTTTTGAACTTCGACCCCAGACCCGTATCCTCTTTGGCCTTTGCTGCTTCTCTTGCTGCCTTCATTTCGGCTAGGATCTGGTCTCTCGTTCGTTTCTTCGACGGATTTAGTGGCGCTGTTGATAGTTGTCCTTTCTTTGCTGCTTTCTCTCTTGCGACCGCTGCAACTTCTCTTTCTTCCAGTTGGTCTAACTCCTCATCTATGTCGTCTTCCGGCTCGGAAACCTCTTCCTTCTCGCCGCTATCGCCATAAACATTTTCGCCCTTTCGTACTCGTTCGAGGAGCTTGAAGTCGAGGCCTTTTACTAAGTGGGTGCTGGATAAATCACCACCGGCAATTTGACTCCTGAGTCTGTCGAAAGTCTCTTGGTCGATCTCTTCCTTCTTGAGGGACTCTTCTAGTGCCTTTATTCGTGCTGCTCGTTCATCCTCCTCTTCCGAAGTTCTGTTCTGAGCGCGGTCTACATATCCCTCTGCTAATTTGCTACCCTTGGGATTATACGACTTGAATTTCTTTGGTTGTTTGTCGCCGCCATGGTTACGCTCTGCTAATTGTCGTGCGAAATCGGATTTATTATGAAGGCCAACTGAGCGACTGGATTAGTTAATAACGTATGCAATGAAGGTGGAGGGACAGTAGACTCACGGCGTCATAGGAATGCTTGACTTCTGTCTAGATCCAAGCGATGCTCCTCGAGGAGTGGCTGCGCCTGGTGATGCGCCATTGCCATTCGATGAGGGCTTGGGGGTGTTTGTAGAAACAAGGCGTCGGAACTGTTCGTTGTTCATCGTCGCGATGATCTAATATGATTTATACTGGGGGTAGTTTGCCGACGCGAAATCAACCAGCTTCGCTCTTCAATCCTGTCTTCAAGTTACAAGAGTCGGGAAATGTCGACAAGGACCAGGTACGTAATAAGAATTCGCATATGCACATGTGAAGTTATGTAGAGAAGACGAAGAAATGAAATAATCGGGTTACCTATAAGTGTGGCTGGTGCAGACATCGTTGATGTGCCCAGTCAAATGCTTTCCTTATTAAAAAGCTCCGTTAAAAACATGTTGAAGATGCATTTAACCACACCAGGTACTTAAAACAGCCTTAGTGCAGGTAGCCAAACCAGCTTCTTATGAATTAATCTGTTTTAGAGCTCATTTTTATCTTTACTGTGTATCTTTTTTATAGCCCCTTCTTTTAATCATTTTAGTATCCCGTATTGCGTATTGTTTTTGCTTTAGACTCCATGACTCGGCAAGTACATCATTGTCCGGATAGTACCGGTATATGCCCCAGTCGTACTTCTGCCTTCTATCGCTGGCGAGGTATGCAGCGACGTTTGGTCGACCCTTAACCGCCTCCCATAGCTGAAAGACCCGGTCATATTTACCGGATTCTTTGTCTGGTTCATTGCTTTTGGAAAGGCAAACTGGACACCATCGATGCACTGTTTCATATTCTCGATTAGTCGGCGGCCAAAGATCTGACGGTAAGGCATGATAGAACCTCAAGAATGGAATCGGCGTAAGAAATAGGGTAACTTACCTGGAACAACACTAAGTCGGCGTAGGTGAACGTGTTCCCCAAGAGCCATGGACCTGAACCGCACTCGTCGCTTTCTAGCACTTTCTGCCAGTACCCAAGATGCTTAGGTAGGCGGTTCTTGATCCATTCCTTACGTACTTCGTCTCAAACTTTCCTCCTTCTAGTCTTCGTAGTATAGCTCTACGGCAATCGGATGGTGGGAATCGTGAACTTCGTTACTCAGACCGTCAAGCGCAGTAAGAGCAAGCGCATTCACCCGATAGATATCATTCTCTCGTGATCCCGAAAGTCCGAGCTTAGGACCAAGATACATAAGGATATTACTAGTTTGAGAGATAATAAGGTCACCGTGCTTGAAAAGAGGCGGGGCGTAGTAAGGCGAATTTCCTCGTTTGCCTTTTATAGTCGGGAGCAAGGTAAGCTGTGACAACCTCTCGACATTTGTCGATAAAGAGAGATGAAGTGCCTTGATATTGACGCAGATAGCTGGTGTTTCCGTGTTGTTGGTATTGATATGGACTTTTCAAGGCGAGCGAAGAATTTAGATATGCAACACAGATGGATTAGGTACTTAAACTTTTATTTATTTAATACAATAGATAGTTCAATCCTAGGTACCTATACATAGACTGCTATCTAGAGTCCTTTTTTATGGTGTCGTCTCTGCTTACATGCGGACATGCAAGATATGTACTTATACGCTTCAATAAGTACATATCGGCTTATTTACACGTGTATTCACTTAATGCATTCACTTAATGGAATCATTACCTGCATTAAATCACGGGATGACGTGACGTTACCCGCGTCTCATTAATCAGCATCGCTCTGCCACGCGTTTATCAATTACACGTTTGTCGGTGAAGAATGAGATCAAACAAGTCGATATTCATAAACTTTTCACTTTCTCTTAGTAATTTTCGGTGTAGCCAGAAATCCGGATTCAGTCAACTAACTCATCTTGTCTTATGCTCAATATAGCTAAGACTCCGTCGATTCCAAGATGACCTCCCATCGAAAGATCGCCACAGGCCATCGAGTAGATTCTTTTATGAAAACCAGACATCTCATTATTTGAGGTCAACTTCAAAATCCCGTCAACATGGGGAGTCGTTTAGATGCCAACTCAAATGCCGTGCGAAAGCGCATAGAAGACCATACCTTTTCGGATGAAGCAGGCGAGGAATATGAACCTAGCGCCTTTGGCGGTTTTGGAGATTACTTTCGCCGCAAGAAAATCAAGTTACAGAATCTTGATTCCGAATTGAGAGCTTCGTCGACAGACAAGCCTCAAATCTTCAAGGGAGTCGTCGCGCACGTTATAGGCTATACGCAGCCGCCACTCCAAGTCCTTCATCACGATCTAGTCCAACATGGCGCCGGCTTTCTCCAGTATTTGGACTCCAAGACCATGGCAACTCACATCATCGCATCCAGCCTACCACCAAAAAAGATGGTCGACTTTAGCAAGTATAGGATGGTGAAGCCTGCGTGGGTTACAGATTCTATCAAAGCTGGAAAGCTTCTACCGTGGTCAGATTACCGAGTGATAGATGAGAGCCCCAGGCAGAAGACATTGAAACTAAGTGGGACTAGAATATCCACACAGTCCAGTCCACAATCACCCCTGGCAGGATATCGGGAGCAAACCGAGAGCAGTTTCTATAATAGTCAGCTTAAAGGTATTGCACAGTCTATTGACCGAAAGCACCTCGGAGGCATCTCGCCTACTCGACAAGGATCAACTCTCAAATATACGCATAATAATGAGCCTGTTGAACCCACGACGCCTTCATGTGTATTACGGGGACCGCAATACTCACCAGACATTTCTGATGAGTTGGACGAAGACTCGGTGATGCTGGTCGAATACCCAGAATCTACAGCACCACAAGCAACTAAGGAGCCTGATGAACAAGTCAAGAACGACATTGAAGATGACACCCAACCTGAACCATCAATCGAAGAACAAAAAGCGATGACCTCCGAGGAGCATAATGCATTACTTTTGCAAGATCCGCGGATGAGGAAATCTTCCACCGCAAATCCAGATTTCATCCAGCAATACTACTCTGAAAGTAGACTCCACCATCTGTCGACCTGGAAAGCCGAGTTGAAGTCTAGAATGCAGAGGCTCGCTGCTGAGAAAGGTCCCCAGAAAAAGCCGACAAAAAGGAAGGCCGGCGCGAGGCGCTACGTAATGCACGTTGACTTCGACAGCTTTTTCTGCGCAGTTTCGCTGAAAAGCGCACCCGAATTCATTGACAAACCCGCTGTTGTCGCACATGGAACAGGATCTGGCTCAGAAATTGCCAGTTGCAACTATCCAGCGAGGAAATACGGCGTGAAAAACGGCATGTGGATGAAACGAGCTAAGGAATTGTGTCCCGAGCTCAAAGTACTGCCATATGACTTTCCAGCATACGAGGAGGCCAGCAAATCGTTCTACGAATGCATTCTAGAAGTTGGCGGTGTCGTGCAGAGCGTCAGTATCGACGAGGCTCTTGTGGATATCACCTCCGTTCTCCTATCTGCAGTTGGCTCAGATGGTTCTGGGGTCGACGAGGGTAGTATATGGAGGGAACAGGAAAAGGCGGACCAGATAGCCTCAGCCTTAAGAGAACAAGTCAAGGAGAAGACCGAGTGTGCTGTTTCAGTTGGAATCGGAGGTAACATTCTGTTAGCAAAAGTGGCGCTTCGGAAAGCCAAGCCCGCAGGCCAATATCAGATCAAACCAGAAGAGGTATTGGACTTCCTCGGCGACTTGAAAGTTGATGATCTACCTGGAGTCGCGTACAGCATCGCTGGGAAACTAGAAGAGATCGGTGTGAAATTGGTGAGCGATGTCCGGCAAACCTCCAAAGAACGCCTAATCAATACCCTTGGCCCGAAGACGGGTGAAAAGTTATGGGAATATGCTCGGGGTATCGACCGAACGGAGGTCGGTGAACAACCAATCCGCAAGTCGGTCTCAGCTGAAGTTAATTGGGGAATACGGTTCATCAGCCAGGATGAAGCCGAGGAGTTCGTCTTCAATCTGTGTAAAGAGTTGGAGAAGCGTCTTCTTAACGAACAGGTCAAGGGTAAACAGCTCACGATGAAGATCATGAGACGTTCATTTGACGCGCCTCTCGATCCACCAAAACACTTAGGACATGGCAAATGTGATACCTTCAACAAGAGCGTCATGTTTGGTGTTGCCACCCACGACTATCAAGTGTTAGGTAAAGAAGCCGTCTCGATACTCCGTTCCTATAAATTCAGTCCGGGTGACCTTCGCGGTTTGGGCGTACAGTTGACTAAACTCGAGCCAACCAAGACTTCATTGTCAGGACCTGACGGGAGCCAAAAGAAGCTGACTTTCGGTGCTTTTCGTACTCCTGGCTTAAGCAAAAAGCCGGCCCTTGAGCCAATCCAAGATGGCAGTGGTGCAGAAGAGGCCAGTCCAAGGCCAGGTCGAAGCGAACCGCAAGACCCGATCACAGAGAGCCCCTTGACTCCACGAAAACCGAAGCCAGAACGCCATCCGGCATTCGCGCTATCTCAAGCAAGCAAGGCGGATGCTAAAGCGAATACCCCCTTAAACATCAGCGGAACCCAATTCATCATGCCATCCAACCCGGATCCCGCAGTAATCGCCGAATTACCCCCGGATATTCGAAGCCGGCTTATGGAGCAAGGCCGTCGAGCCACCCCGGAACTTCGCGACGAGACACCAGCCGCCAAATCAAGGACTCAAAGCCCAGCACCCGTAGACGGCATCCCTCCCGAGATCGACCCCGAAGTATTCAACGCCCTACCAGACGACATGAAAGCCGAAATCCTAGAACAATACCGACCCCGAAGCAGACAACCAACCTCGCTCCCCCAATCCCCCCGCCGAGACCGCATCATCCAACCCCCCAAGCAAAGAACCCCAAGCAAACGCCGCGTGCCCAACCTCTTCGCCCGCGCCCGCGAGAGACAAGCCGACGCCAGCGCCAAAATCGTCCAAACCACAATCGCCAAGCAGCCCCAGCCCCAGCCCGACCCCAACGACGTCGAAGACCTAGACCCGGAATTCCTCGCCGAGCTACCGGAGGAAGTACGCCAAGAAGTCATCGCCGACCACCAACGCCGCCGGCGTGCACAGCGCGCCGGCTTAGACCTGTCGAAACTCAACCAAAACAAGAGGAACTCAGATATCGGCAATGGCAATGGCAATGGAGAACAGGACCCCGCAGCCCTACCAAACGGCCAGACACGCCTACGCTTCAACCCACGCCCGCCTAAAGTCGGCTTCACATCCAACGGACTAACCACGCTGCCCGAGATCCGCGACATGCTCAACGTGTGGCACCGAGAGACGCGGGACGAGGGGCCTCATAGACGGGACGCCGAGATATTGGAGAAGTACTTGGTGCGCGTCGTGTTAGAAGAGAAAGACATGGACAAGGCGGCGAAGCTAGTCCGGTGGTTGGATTACCTGGTAGAAGACAGCGGTGGAGATGGGGGCGAGGAGATGGAGTATCGTGGGAAGGAGGCGTGGCGTGAGGTCGTAGGACGGGTTAAGATGCAAGTACAAAATGCGGTGCGGGAGAGGGGGTTGGGGCTGTTGGATATATGAGTTATTAAATGATGCCGAATATGACCCTGTTTATATCCATTACTACGAGCGACACGATAGAAGACTTGGAGCACATAGCATTGTAAAAGATGAGTGCTGTATCATCGAAGCGGTGTATTTAGACTTTATAACGCTTTTCAAACAACGAATGCCACCTATCTACTATTCAGTTTCATCTCCGATTTTCATGTACTTCAGCTGATCAAACAGCTATTGCGCCCAATTATACCTATATCTAGAGGTATTTGCCGCGAACTTCCCCCGCGACGACTAACTCAGTAGACAACAATGCGTAACGCCTCCTTGCGAGATGACGCTATGACAAACGCTGGCTCTGATCTAAAGAGAGTGAAGAAATCAAATAGTAACACCCGATCTCAAACTTAAGTCATTCATCCACACATATATATCCTCACTCGTCAATTTTCAATTTCATCTCGCCCCTTACAAGCAACCCCAGCCCAAGGCAAAAGTCACAGCTAGCACGAGAATACCCACTCCCACGGCTTGTAGTGCCGCTTGATCATGGGGTGCTTCTGGCTGGTTGCCAGTTCCGGCATTACTTCCGTTTCCGCTGAATCCATTGTTATCTCCAGGAGTCTTCTTTTCCGTAATGTTGTATAGTGTCATGGCGAGATGTCCACCACACGCAGTCGTGTTGGCACCATCACACTACAACGATGAATATTAGTAAGTACTCCGCAAAGCGAGAGGTCAGGTAGCCGGCGTAGTGTATTTGGGTATATTTCCGGGGACCGGGGGGGGGTCAATCAGCTCGAATAATATGGAGAAACTCACGACTCCATTGCTGTCTGGGGGAAAGGGGGGATAAGGGCCAGAAATGAAGGATATCAATGTCAAATTATACGTACAGGAAGATCGCAGACGTCGTCAACCAAGTGGTAGCTGTGCTTCGAGAGGTTGTCACCACACCAGCACTGATAGGCAAACTCAAGGCCGGCGTAGTGGTAGCCAGTCTGGTTCTGTTTGTTCTTGTTAGAGGCGCGGCGGCAGAAATCCACACACACGTGGACATTCATGAGGCCGGGTGCCGTCAAGAAGGGTCCATCGAGAGCATGTACGTCGGGGTTCAAAAGGGTGACCTCAGACCAGCACCCCACGTACTTGTACACGGGATCCTCGTCGATGATCCTCAGCTCCGGGCGAGGAGAGGCGCTGGGGCTGGGGCTGGGGTTAGGTGCGTCAGCCTCGACGATCAATGTGTTATTGGTAGTGTGGGTTGAAATGGTGGTGTTTCCGGTGGTGTTTCCGAAAGCAACGGGCATGGACAAGCATGTCGGCTGGGCTTGACGTGCCACCGCAAGGGGAGCTGTGGCCAGCAACATGGCGAGGCCGAGGACACCTGAATATGTGTGAGATGCCATTGCTCTATTCTTTTGGTGTAGTGTATAGTGTGGTATTCGTATCTATGAAGTGTCAGCTTAGCAATATACTTGTTTGGGCAGTAGTTTACTTACATGGAGATAGCAAGGGCTCTAGAATAATAGTAGAGGACTGGCGTTGATGATCTATATCCATGGGTTAGCTGTCTGCGAATTGAGTTGGTGTCGTCTTTGGATAATCACCTTGACAGAAATAAATCTGGAGTCCTCGTATGAATGTTCACAGTAAAATGAAGCTCTTAAGCAAAAAAATGGTAGTATTAGCAGCGATGATGATAGTAACTTGATGGTCCTTTGCAAAACTAATGTTTGTTGTTGATGTGAAGATGTAATGGAGCTCTGCCCCAAGAGATGAACAAAATATTCAAATCTTTGCATGCCTGCCTACTAGGTAGGTACTTGCCTTGGGGATAAGAGCAGGTACATGTAGGATAGATGGCAAGAGGTGTGGGTAAGTACGCGTATGAGGCAATCAAGGCCAGCCCCTTATGCCCACCATTGTATCATTGAGAGAAGCGACGAGGTACCTTTGGCATGTAAAACGACTTAAGTATAAGTCACTCTCTCCAAACTAAACCTATCGCCACTACATACTGTCCAGTTAGACACCTCTTTCCTTTCCTTATTTTCTCCTATCCCTTCCTAAGCTTCCAAAAGAAACACCATCGGTTAGAACCCGTCTTTCCATGACCTCATTTAGCCTCCAACAGACTTAGTAGAAGGGGCGAAGCGTGCAGACACTGATTTCAGAGTTTCCATAGACTAACATGTACCTACATGTTAGTAATACGAAGGGATGTCCTAGAAGGTAGCAAATGGCTTGAGATACCCTAAAAATAATAGGGGTAAATTGCACCATTTCATCTCTGCCGCCACGAAGAATGGCATGGGAGTTTACAAAGCATTGCTATTAAAAAAAAAAAAAAACTATCCCTCTGCAAGGCTTGAGACAGCTCATATGTGTAGTTTATCGTTTAACTATTTTAATTCGACTCTATGTAATCTACGTCTATACGGCCAAGTATGTAGCCTTCACTATGATTTATATAGTCCATAGTTCTATAAGATCCACCACGGACCTCAAATATGAAAGAAGAATCTTTCCTCGGAGCCCTCGTGTTGAATATTGGTTATAAAGGGGTACGAGCTTTAGTATATATGTGCCATTAGCTATGGCAAGGGTATATACTGCATGTTTCCATGCTAACCATGGACATCGTCCTTATTTACCCACGTTCCTACGAGCCTCATAGCCTTTTCATCCCCGTCCACCAGACGCTCATCTTGCAGCGTATCGGAGAGGCATCGCCAGGGATCCCGGCTTCCCCCCCATTTGAGCAGATTCTCCTTCAGTCTCTCGCCGTTCGCTCTATCGAGCGCGGCCGCGTTGTGACCCGCCGAGAAGACAATCTGCCATACGCGCTTAGAAAGGACTTGATCAAATAGATAGCTATAATAGGTGCTGCCGTAGCCGAATAGATGGCCAAAAAAGCCTTGCCATCTGGTTCCTGGTGGATCCGACGGGAGCTTCCCGAATTTCCTCTGGAGGCCTAAATAGATCTCCGTAGAATCAAATGTGTTATCATTCGGTAGGGACGAATGATACTGCTGGTCCAACATGGCGAGTATAATCTGGTTCTCTCTATCTGATGCCTCAAACCTCCTAGATATCTTTAATTTATCCACGACCATATCAAAGGGTAATGGTTCGTCTGTGACGTGGTGTCGCGCGAACAGCCCGAGAACAGAGGGGTCTGCACAGAAATGTTCCATTAGAGTAGACGGCAGCTCTGCTAGGTCAGTCGCGCATCGAGTTCCGGCTACGTTTTGTAAAGAAGTCCGGGCTAGAATTGAGTGGATGGCGTGTCCCATCTCATGGAAGAGCGTTTCCATCTGATAGTAATCTAAGAGGGCAGGTCCACGCCCTTTGTTCTCTTCAAAATCGCAAACCAGTGCAATCGTTGGCAGCTGCTTGATAGAGCCGGATTGGAGAGACACGTGCATCCCATCATTTGCCGCGTCAATAGGAGACTCAAATTTAGGGAGTCCTTCGACACCAGCTGCATCTCGTTCAGCTACTTCTTGGACTTCAGCTTCTGAAATCTCTCTAGAGCAACGCACTGTAAAGTGTGCTGGGTTAGGAGACTTATCATCCCTGAAGAAAAGATCGCAATATAGGACCGCGACATGTCCATCCGTATCGGACACGACATCCAACCGCCTCACGTCCGGATGCCAGGTTTCTCCTGGAAGTGTATCTCGAGGGACAAGCCTGATTCCGTATAAGCGGGTAAATAGCCTTGATAGGCCCTGCATGACAGTTCCAAGCGAGAAATAAGACGATAGGAAATCACCACTGCGTCGTCGCGACCTCATAGATGAACGGATACTCTCCATATAATACTCTTTATCCCATGGTTGGAGATCAGTTGCTGTGGAGTTCTGCGTTTTGCTCTTCTCTCGAAGGAGGGCCGCAATCTCTTCTTCAACAAGCGGTGCATTGCGATTAGATAGGGCTAGAAGGAACTGATGGACCGATTCAGGTGTTTTAGCCATCATTTTATCGTGCAAAGCCATCTGGCTATAACTTTCAAACCCCGATAGCTTTGCAAGCGCGGCTCGCGATCGTAGCAAAGCCTCCAGGATTTGGATCGACCTGCCGGAGGCCGTTCGAGTCGCATAGTAGATTGCCTTTCTCGTATCCTCGTCATGCACGCTTCTCAATGCCACTGTTGCTTCAGGCGACAACGTCGGCAGCCGGATAACGCCTCCACGGGTATACCTCCGAGCCATCTGCGGGTTCATTCCATATAATTTGCTGCTAGGGAATTCGAGGAATCTCTGTTCGGGTTGCATGTCTTGGACGAAATATGACCCTAGTTCGCTAATCTGCTGCGACAGGTCGACAAATTGATCCCGCGATTCCTGTGGGAGGTGTATTGCCGACTTCATAAAATCTTGTTGTAGTAGTTTCGCAACCGTCTGCTCCTCCTCGTTCCAGCTGGCCATGACCTCTGGATTAGCGAGAGCTTTCCCTAGCTGATCACTTAAACCCGTCGCAGTGTTTAACTGGTTCATATACTGGTAGACCAGCGACCATGCCTGCGACGCAGCTGCTTGAATCTTCTCATCGGGATGAGTTACCCGCACGAAATCCGAAACATCCAGGACTCGACATAGCAGATCGCTCAATCTATCTAGGTCTCTCACGACCGCCTTATATTCCTCCAACGTCGACGCATTGAGCACCTTGTGAACAAGCTTCTGAGCCCTCTTAATCGTGACATCTGCAAATGTGAGGAAGCCTTGTGGTGACGTTAGGTATTTGTTTCTGAACAAGCCAACATTCTCACGACTCGCGATCTTGAAGAAGGGTTTAGCAAAGTCTTTGAAGGTCGGTGGAGAGTCGAAGATCTGGCGCAACAGTGCATCGTCATGTTTTAGGTCGGTAGGAGAATGGTCGACTGGTATCTGTGAGGTGTCGATCTGAGCAGCAGCGCCGGGCGCAGAAGAGAGCCACCGTCTTTGGTCTCGAATTCGAGAAGTTCGAGAAGCTTGTCGGAGACATCTTGAGCAGGTCCATAGACCTGAGCGAATAGTCTTTATCATGACGTATAGAACATTATTAGAAACTTTGAACCCAAAGCAAAGCCCCAAGTAAACCACCTATTTACAAAAAGAGTGTGAAAGAAATATGAAATGTACAAATAATGTTTAATTGTTTAAGTGCAATTGCTTCGCATGTGGAATGAAGCTGCCGCACGGAAATTGACGGTTCGCAATTACCTACGTACCTGCGTACAAACCAAAATTTCGCCGAGGGCCCGATCCGGAACCCGCCGCGTAAAAAAAAGGTACATGCCGATTTGTACGTAGGTACATCATCGTTGCAGTCCAATATTCTCAAAAAAGCTTCCAAGTTTTAATAACTCGAAGCACCGCCAAACCCAATTGAGCGCAACATGGCTGCGAGAGTGCTGCTGCGACGGGTGAGATTCCCTCTAGAATATTTAATCAAGCTGTTAAAGTACTGATGAATGGTAAAACTATAGCGTATCGCTGCGCCTTTCATGGCTGCGACTCTTGCCGGAGTAGCTTTATTTCCCTCGGTTGCGCTGGCTGAAGCACCTTCATACGACCACGTACGGCTACTCTCCTATATATACTAATATGAACGGGCCGCTTTATTAATTCATACCTCGACAGCCTTCCAAGAAACCCATCTACGACGATTACGAGACCTTCCTCTCCCCGAAAGCCACCAATACGCCAGTCCCGTCACCAGCCTCAGATACTATATCAGAAGCGTCCTTCTCATCGTCAACGACGTTAGTCGAGCATCCAGAGCAAAAACACCACAGTCCGACGCCGACTGACCGGTTAGCCGCAGAGGTCGGCAAAGCTCGTCTATTCCTATACCGATATGCTGCAGCTACGGAGGATGCCGTAAACGGCGCCATCGACTCGGCATTCCACCTGGAACAGTCCTTCACCGAGACCATCGCATCGCTGGCGCCGCCGCGGGAGAGCGGCGAGAAATTGATGCCGGGACTAGTATACGTGCTTGTAGCATCCATGACGGGTAGCATCATCGCAAGGAACCGCAACATCGTCCTACGGGCCTCGCTACCCCTAGCCTTCGGCGTCGGCGCCGGCTGGCTGCTTCTCCCCGTCACCATGACCAACGTGTCAAACCTACTATGGCAATACGAGCGCCGATTCCCCGCCGTAGCTGATGCCCATCTCAAGACGAGACAAGGTATCCAAGATGCCTGGCGCTTTGCCAGGGTTCATGTCGATGTCGGGAAGAACTACGTCGATGAGAAGGTTAGCAACACCCGCGATATTGTTGAGAGCTGGGTAAAGCAGGGTAAATAGATAGAAGAGAGGTCTTTTCGAAGAGAATACTACCTTGTACTTTAGACGAATAGACACAAAATTTGCTTTGTTCGAGGCTAGGAAGGATACCAACTACTATTTTGGACGTGTAATTGAAAGTACATAAGTTGTTGTATACATCTCCCATTGCTCTATTTTGCGTAAGACTTTAATCTAGACAGCTCATCTTCAAACAATAATTTTGATGGTAAATTAAACCAATATAAGTATAAGTGGTTTTGCTTGATAAACCAACGCATGATATATCCTACAAGTTGCTCTCCGCAACATCTATCCTGATTTTATTCAACGCCGTCATGGGATCCGTTAATTCATATGCCATACGCGGCCACCCGTGTCTATCCTATCATTACAACTCAGCATTACGCTCCGCCTTCTTAACCAGGAAATCCAAAGTCCGCTCATACGTCCACATCGTGACAGCGCTTGCAGGAGCTGCCTTGAGCAGACTAACCGGCAACCCTCTATACAGGCCCCTAACCCCTTCCATCTCCAGGATCCGACGAATAGTGCTCACCGTACCGGCGTACTCAGGTATATTCTTGTGGACGTAGCGGCTCCGCGTGGGGCCCTGGACTTGGATACGCTTGCGCACGAGGTCGAGCGGGAACACGCCCGTCTTCGCCACGACACTAGCGATGACTCCGGCCGTGGCGTCTCCCGTGCCCCAAGGCAGCGCATCGACTCGTCCCAGCGGCAGCCGCGCGCCCTCGTACACGGCGAAGAAGAGCCCCATGAACGGTACGATCTGCCCTAACGCAGGTGCTAGTCCCCGGAAAAAGCCAGGCACGCCCTCGTCTCGTGCTATGTCAGCTACCGCCCGCCGTAGCGACGTGTACACGCGGTCGTTGCCCTGGGCCGCGAACCGCGTGCGTAGCAAGTCCAACGGGTACGTAGCCGCGGTGGCTGCAGCGCCGGCCGTAGCACCGCTGACAAACGACTCGACGGACTGGGGGAGCCGGCGGGCGTCTCCGTAAAGGGCGCGTAGTAGTTGCGTCGTCGACCGGTAGGTAGTGAACTGGATAGAGGCGTACGCGACGTACATCAGCTCGGCGGGCACATTGCCCTTCCACAGGGCGGTGATGCCCTCATTAGCGACGATCTGGCGGAACGTGCCGATAGTGCCCTTATAGATAGGAGAGCCGCGAAGGTCAAGGTGAGTTCGCGGATCTGAGAGCGAGTGTGATTGCAATTGCAGGCGAATCTTGACGACGTCGAGGGGCGCGACGACGAACCGGGATATTAGACCGGCTGTAGCCCCGGCGGTTACGACTTGGAGTCGTGAGCCCTTTAGTAATCGCGAGACCAGTGTCAGTTTTTACTCCTTTGTCTCATATACTAGCTAGGTATGTATATTGCGCCTCCAGGGCCAAAGCTACACTACGTACCTCATCCTTGAGGCGTGGGCCAGATTTCGACATACATCCGCAACGGCCCTACCCGGGACTAGGGTGTAAGTCGGGATATGATGCTAGGATGTTTTCCAACTTAGGAGACCCCCCACGCAAGCTATGGATGGTATGGATGGTATGGATCTATGTATGGAGGTATGGAGATTTGTTGTACTGTGCGATGATGTAGTGTAAGTAGAAAATAGCTAACTAGCAAAAGTTGCAGCACGTGCCGTAGCCACTTGCCGTCCGGCGAACAAGGGAGACGGGGTTAATTGAGACGCGTGACGATGCCGATATAAGCTAAGAGGACCGTCGACTGGCTCGGCCGATTAATTACGGGCGATCTTGTGAACACTTAGGTACCTTAGGTATGTACAGATGCACGAATGAACATACGGCCATCAGCAAAAACTTAGGTTACACTTGAAATATTTAACTACTGCGTCAAGCCGCAAGATGACGCTTTTCATCGGCAATTTGGAGAATTCAAAAGCCGATCCAAAAATTCAAAGGGCAAAGTAGCACTTGACTCCAAAGAAGTGACGTAAATTGGTAGGACTTTTACAACTTTTTACAACTGCGAGTTATCACGTGTTACAACGTCAATCTATGTACTATAGCTTACCTGCAATGTCCTGCAATATTCTGCAATAACCTACAATACGTTGCAATGGTTGGATCGACAAACATTTTGGGTGGTATGACAGGGCTATACTACGTGTAAATGCGAATCAAACATCATCGGATCGGAGCCTAGTTTGAGCATTTTAATGTCCCCAGTTCCAATTCAACGTATCATTAAATAATGTGTCCAGATGCATAATTACGTCCATCGCGGGGTTGATATGACCGTGATATTTGCGACCGTGTCTGGACTCGGGACTATTCACGCTTCATTTTAATTCAGGGCCAAGCCCCACTAGGCATGTACTTCCGTCAACTAGGAATATTCGACCTAACATAAGGCAAGTTTAGGTACTTATTAACAGGCCTAATTCGCTAAGTTGAATAAGCTTCCGCCCGCCCGAGCTTATGCCTCCCATTCGTCCTCTCCCCAGATTTAGAGTGGGACTTCTCTAACTCGCTAAAACCATTGGTTACGTCCCTTTGGAGTTCTGCAACATACAATAACGTACATAACAGACTCCTTGCGATTGCTTCTTTCCCCCTTCGATTCTGTCTCGTCATCTATCCTTCTTTCTCTCTCTTATATTACGAATTCTCTTCTACGTTTTATTACGGCTTACCTTTTCCGTCCCCTGACACTGAAACAATTATAACGTTGACTAGCGTAGCTCGCGTAACCAAAATAGGACGTCAGCCTCTGAAGGAACGTCTGACAAGCCCTCGTTGCATGTGATAAGCTCCACTGTCCACTTATTCGAGGACCTCAAATAAGAAGCTCCAGCAACGCCTATTTTCGACTCGTGAACTCTCACCGCAGCACACGGAACGATACCTGAATCTCTGGCGAAATCATGGCAGCTTCAACAGTCAAGCAACCGGACGTTCAACAAGTCTTAGGACCTCTGTTACCCTCGCTACCAGCCGCTGCCTTATCAGCCCAACCTGCAGAAAACGCTCTTCCACTTCTCTCTCCGATTCTTAGGCAACGAGTCCAACTTTTATCATCGGCCAGTTCAGAACCGTGGATTCGGCTGTTGTGTTATGAACCGGGAAACGTTCCTAAATTGACAGAGATCGCCCAGGGCGATCGGCTAGAACCCCATCCCGTATCTGGCGAGGTTGAGGTCGATTGGGAGTATGACACCGAAATCCGCTACCGGCGGGTGGACGATGAGACTCTACAAGCGCTCGTGCTACTTAAAGATATTGGGTTAACTTTCCGCCTGGTTTATTGCGTTGGAGATCCTCTAGGCGATGGTTGGAAAGTTGGCGAAGTCAATGTAGCCGAGAAGCCGTCTCCTTTTTTATCGTTCGGTGGCGTTTCGGACATTAGCGAAGCCGATAGGCAGTTTAATGAGTCCAAGACGAAACCAGCTCAGAGCAACGGCTTTACAAATAACCGAACTGCTTCTGTTGTGGACGACGACGACGACGATGATTACTGGGCAAGATATGACGCGACACCTGCGAGAACTCCTGCTGTTAAAAGATCACCTGCACCACAATCTACTCGTGGCGTCAGCACGACAGCCGAGGAAGATTACTACGCTCAGTACGACGATGTCCAACCAGCTATGGACAATCATGACCCGGACGAGGAAGCAAATTATGAGATAGCACCGCCTCTAGGTCTAGGCGCTAGGCCAAGCAACGGTAGCGACGAGGAGGAAGCAGAAATCAACGAAACTCAGGGCGCATGGACACTTGCCCCTAGGCCAAGGTCACCTTCTGCACACTCGAGAAGCGGTGACGATCCAAGCATAGTCCATCCTTATCCAAGACCTGCTTCGAGTACCGGATCGAACGCTTCGGTTGAGAAACTCGAGGCGGCGGCAGCGAAGCAAGAGCAGAATGATTTCGGCGTTAAGCAGCATGTATCTCGAAGCATTAAGAGCTTGTTCATGCTATCCCGTGCGTCAGGAATCGACCGCGAGGAATTCGAACGACTAGTGAAGACGGAACTTGACACGTTAGGACTATTAGATGAATAAATCTAATTTGAGATGTGTTGTTTAAGTTATGTAGGTGTTTAAGGTTGGGGAATCTGGTTGTATTTACAGGCGTTCAGACGGCCAAATTGGCGGGTATATCATTTTTGTTGGGGTTACCCGGCAGTTTAGTTACGGACTACATGACTACCTATTTCAGGTATATCTTGCATAAGGGGGCGATGCATCCTATGGCGTTATCGAGTTAATCCGGATGTTCGAGTGTATTGTACGCAAGAGAATACCAAAAGAAATTAAAAATGTGTGAAATTTACTAAAATATACCTTAAATCAAACGATGAAGTTATGTGATAGGAGCAGCATTCAACAAGATCATCCCATTTTGCCTACCTACCATATTTGAGGTTGCTCAATTAACTTGATATACGAAGTACATAAACCTTCAGACACAGATACATCGGTACAAGGTGCGACTGAGCTCAGCCCAATTTATATGCCGATATCTCCGGCGGGACTGGCCCCACACGTCCCCTGAATCGGTGCCCCTCCTACCCCTCTGACTCAAAAATAAAACACGTCTACTGAAATATGTACATTTGATAGACCAAAAATTTGATAGACCAAAAAAAAAAAAAAAGGTGTGAAGACGGGAGAAAGCGTCCCTTGGAGAAAGCGTCCCTTACGTTGTTTCCTTACGTTGTTTCGCAAATCATATCGACTTCGCACAACTCTCCTTCTCAAATATGACTCCCGAAGAGTCGATTGCCTTGATCAAGGTCGGCCTGACCGAAGTTCTCAACCCCGAAATCATCGAAGATGTTATCCTTAATCAGAAACGAGATCTTAAAGTCTACTGGGGAACGGCCACGACAGGACGACCGCACTGCGGCTACTTCGTGGCAATGGTGAAAATCGCAGAACTCCTCCACGCCGGATGCCATGTCAAGATCCTCCTCGCCGACTTACACGCCTATCTCGACAACATGAAGGCTCCGCTCGAACTGATCGAGCAAAGACTCAAGTACTACGAATATATCGTAAAGAGCTCGCTAAAAGCTGTAGGCGTAGACATCACAAAGCTAGAGTTCGTCAAGGGAAGTTCGTACCAAAAGAGCGAGAACTACACAATGGATCGATTCAAGTTGGAGGGTATGACTAGGATATCGGTTGCGCAGAAGGCTGGTGCCGAAGTCGTCAAGCAGACTAGCGATCCGTACCTAGGTGGTCTCACCTATCCCCTGATGCAAGCGCTAGACGAAGAGTATCTCGACGTCGACGCACAACTCGGTGGTCTGGATCAACGCAAGATCTTTACGTTTGCCCTGGAGAACCTACCAAAGATCGGTTACAAGGTCAGGGCGCATCTGATGCACTCAATGGTACCTGGTTTAGGAGAGGCACAAAAGATGAGCTCCAGCGAACCGGATTCTAAGATCGATTTGCTAGATTCCCCCGACGCGGTGTCCAAGAAGTTGAAAAAGGCCGTGTGCGTACCTAAGAAGGTTGAAGGCAACGGTGTTGTGGCCTTCGTAGAGCATGTTATTTTCCGGGTGGTGGCTATAAAGACTGGAGGAAAGCCTCACTTCACAGTCGAGAGACGAGAAGGAGAACCCCTTATCTACGACGACATTGAAAAATTAAAGGCAGATTTCGAGGCAGACATAGTAAGTGACCCCCAATTGGTGTGGTATCTCTGCATAATACTAACCGCCATACAGCTCACTCCCCAACTTCTAAAGGCTGCTTTGACAAAGGCGCTGAACGAGCTCTTAGACCCTATCAGGAGCGAGTTCGAGGCATCAGAGGAATGGCAGAAGATTACAGAGCTAGCTTACCCGTCGGAAGAAAAGCAGCAAAAAGTGAAGAAGCAAAAGGACAAGGGTGACCCGGCCAAGCGTGCAGCTGCGCTCGCGGCGAAGGCAGAACAATTGAAGCTGAAGGAGGGTGGAAGCGAAGAGTCGAAATAAAACCTATGATACCTCGTAGCAGTATTGGTAGATTTGATGCTAACCCATAAAATGGTGTCTTGCATTTTCTTGGAGCCCTTGGAGCCGATAGATGAATACCATGGTTATTACAAGATTTCTGTTTATTCTACCTTTCTACCTTTTGGAAGTGTGATTTAATCTAGCCCTTATGTTGTGATTATCAACGAACAAAGTTGGTCAAGTTTTATATGAAGACTACATGTATACCTGGTACCTACCTACATTATGGGGCTGGGGGGGTCTATTGACATTATGTCAGCAAAGGTGTCAATATAATTACATAATTACAGGCCCTGACACCATGTCAAGACCGTGTCAACAGGTCAATACAATGTCTGCAAAGCTTGTTGTACCGATTTCATTGCAGGTACTTACAAGTCAATACTAATAGATAGCATGTCAAGGTATGCCCGACTTTTAGGAGGGATGTTGTGTTTGGCCAAGATGGTATTTCCTAATTAGGCAATTCGTCTGTGCACACCACTAGCGTCTAGATCCCAGG